CAACTTGAATAAAACTGATCTGAAATTGAGCTCTTAAACTCACATTCAATATAAAATTGTGACGTCGAATTCATTCGTTTTATTTATGGTTTTTATAATAGTAAAACAATCCTTCTTCACATTTCAAGGAATTCGAAAGACTTCAAGAACTCAAACGTCTTATGGGCATGATGCTTCACATGCTTCGAGAGACTCAAAATTGTTGGCGTTTCCTCCACAACCAGAGTAAATGAACCATTTACATTCACCATCATCTTTATACCATCTCGAACTCCTTAAATCTTGTCCTCTACATGATCCTCCAAATGGACTTTCATCACATAGAGGGTCTAAGAGAAAAAAATCACAATGATTAGATTCTTAATGATGAAAGTTGAGGTTTTTATTCACCAGTAGGTAGATGCGTCTTTGCATGAATTTTCACACGACTCGTAGCTGTCGAAATTGACAGAAACTTCACCATCGCAACCAAAATATTGTAATGATTCGCATAAATCGAACGTACTTTGATAATAATATCGTAATACAGCTTCAGGGCATGGAGTTGATCCACTGTCAAGTAACAGACTACAAGCCTCTGGAAATAAAAGGATATTTCAAATCGCTGATAAGTTTGAGTAAAATTTTTCTGATTCTGTTCATAGCTCCAACAATATGATCCACGCAATCAATAATTTTTCTTACCATTTACTTGAGTTGGAACTTCTACACATTTTTTTTCTGCAGTGCCAACTTATTGAAAATGATTTAAAATAAATTAAAAGTTAATTAGCTATTTTTAAATCAATTTAAGTTTGAGATATTTTACTTGTGGAGAGAACTGCGACCAAAGTTATTTGCAAAAAGATCTTCATATTTTCAAAGAAACTACAGGAATTAAGTTTTAACGTTCTTCAAAGTGTTTTTATACTATTTCACAGATAAGAACGTCCTGCGATGTATTTCCAAGGATAAATATTCTTTACACAATGTATTGAACTTTACATAAATGTATCTATTGAAGTGAGGTTAATCGTCTCTAACAGGAATCTGTTTATTACTTAAACAGGTGAAAAATAAGTTGACATCAATTTATCTTCTTTATGACAAATGAACTTCATTATCATCAGCAGATCAAGGACAGGCCCATATAGGGTGAAGAACTTTAAATACAACTGTTTGAGTTAAGTTCAATACTTCAACCATCATCGATTCAGCATATCAAATATGCAATTTAATATTTAACAAAGCAGTAAATCAAGAACCAGAAAGAAGTGGGAAGAAGCAATTTAAAATCTCGTAATCTCGAAGCACATGTAAGAATCGAAAGTAACAAAATGATTTTTCACACTAGCAAAACTGTAAAAGTTAATCGCGAAATTTGAGATCAAGAGATCTGATTAATAAACTTGTATAAACAAGAAGAGAAATCAACTTTCATGATACACCGTCACAACAGAAACGATCTGTCAATAAAGTTTAATGTTTTTATTCTTTTGTCGGCTGAATTTTTAGAACGATTTTATTTTAAATCGAGTGGAATTAAAGAATGAAAAGTAAAACGTGACGCAATCTTATAACAAAAAAGGTCAACAATATCAAATTCCCTAAACCGAATGCATCCAATCAAAACGATTGCAATGTTCAAGCAATTTTCTTCTTGTTTTCTCAATTATACAAACAAAAGAAAATAATTTTTCCTTTTTCTCGTTTCCTTCTTAACCACACTCATGACAAACAAAGGAGATCGTCTTCTGTTGATAAGAGATTTATTTTTGTAATCCACTTTCAAAAACAAATATAACTTTATCCAATGAAACGAAATTGAATGATGTATCTACTTAAAGCTAAATTAATTTTCTTAATTGAAGACATGAGAGAATTAAAAAAAAATGCATTTCTACAGAAAATAAATTAAATGCCATATGCATGTCTTATAATTGTTTTGAAATAAATCATTTTTGCGCAATTAAAAAAGTCAGAAAGATGAATGGTGAAATTTTAAAACAATACGTGAAGAATCTGATTAAATCAAATGAGTTCACAGCGAGTAATTAGTTGGCTTCACATCGCTTGGAATGGATGAAAAATTACTGACGAATTTACTGCAAAAGTTTACCATTAAAAACGGTCAATGAACTCGAATGGAGCTCAAGACACAACAATTTTGTGAATGGACGAATGCATCAAGTCAACACTGTTATGGCTCAATTATTAGTTCGCTTAAGGTTTTCTTAATGAAATATTTGATCTTTTAAGTATTCCATTTCTGCGAAGAAAGTGTTTTAGCACTTTATAATTTGCTGTTTCATGTGTCGGCTTTCCATCCTGAAATTATTTATTTGCCGAAAGCAAACACGAAAATTCGTTGTGAGATTGTAAAACTTATCGTATTTCATGGTTTATTTAGGATTATTTACACATATTTTTTTCACGGATGGGCGCCAAGGGAACTGTGCCTTATAAGAAGATTTATACAAAGACCAGTTTCTAGGAAATTCATTGATTTCAATGGGTATCGGAAAGTGAATTGCATTCAATGTTGAACAGAAACTTATAAAACATGCAAAGTCAAATTGCTTTGACTTCAGATTTCAAAGTGTCGCGCCTTTAAGAAAAATATTTGTGATCGCCAACGTCCATTTGTGGATACTTTGATGCAAATTGTTATTAAACAACATATCAAGTTACCGACTCATTTTAATGTATAAAGTAATTCCGTTGACTTCAAAAGATCGTGGATTTAAGTAACACATTTATCGTATGTCTAAACAAATTAGGAGTTGATTGACATTACACCATTCCATGTTTTATCGTTTACGAATCGATCGGAAAGCAAATCAATTGTCACATGAAGACAGCCAAACAAGTTTGAGCAACACATAATGGAGGCTGATTTGACTTGTGAAAGGGAAAGATGAATGAGACTTGAGAAGGAAAATTTTCAATTCGAAATTTCACTATTGAATCAATCAATGTTTTATTTGTTTTTTTGATGTACGTCGCCAAAATGGGAAAACACGCGTAACATAAATTTAAGAGCGATAATATTCAATAGTAGGTCGAAAATTATATTCGAATGAGATAAGAAGTGTTTAGACTGTATCGATTCGGAATGAAGTTAAGAAGTGACAAAACTGAAGTTGATTAAGGAAGAAAGTTTGAAAAATGATTGAAGTATTTTTAAGACTTTCTCCAAGCTGATAATTGATTTGTTGTTGTTAGAAAGAAGCAGAAATAAATGCTCGGAAACATAATTAGTAAATGTCAATATTTGGGTTAGTGTCATGATGAATTATTCAACTCAGTCATGTAAAGAACAACCACGGAACTGTTTAGTTAATCGCCATAACATTAACCTCTGAATATTCATTAGGAAATCACTTCACAACCCTTTATCATGACAACAAAAAGTCACGAAATATCAGTCAGAGTGACTGATATGGTGGAGTGCATAAGAATGAGTTTGAAACCAATTCAGGCTCATAAATAAATTAACATTTGCTGATTTTTGAATACGTTTCAAAGCACAACTGACTTTCCTTTCAACATGAAATCAAATAAAAAAGAATTGTAGCACATGAAACTGCTTTCTATGATAAAAATGTCACAGTTGAAATGCAAATTAATCATTCAGCAAGCGATGTCATAAAAATCAGTTCATAAAATGAACAACAAAAATAAATTAAACAACATTTCAAGTGTTTTTGTTGATTAAAATAAAATTCAAGTGCACAAATGTGTACATTAAATCGAGAGAACATAAAGTGGCAATTCAAATCCATTTCAAACTTTTCTTTTTTCAATTCAATTTTAAATGTTTTGATTTGATGGAAAAATCTTCCAAAAGCTTGCAGTAAACTTTTCCAATTCAATTTTTACAACTCTTTTGGCAAAAGACTGAAGTGGGACATCAAATATTTATCAAGTTTCAGTTTTTGTAACAAGATTATTCAACTGGTGTATTCGAGTTAAAGTCTCAACGTGTGTGATCATCATTCATTAGCACGCATATGTATATTAGACTATGCAAAGGTGTCTCAATTACTTCACTGGATTCATAGTTTACTGTTTTTATTAGCGAACAGAAGTGTACATTAATCAACACAGAGTGGAGTGGAAAAAAGAAAGGATAATTTATAGCCAACAGTCACGAATAGTTTGCGATTCTTTTTGTCTTAGTTACAACAATTAGCACTTAACTATCGGTATAAAAACATGATAATATTGTCTCAGTTAATATATGATTCGACTTGTATGTTTTATTTGGGTGAGAATTTCTATTAAAATTTATTGTCTTGTTATGATCGTAAGTTGATAATTTACATCGGTTAGCTTCATTGATTATTTTACACAATTTAATTGACAAGGTAAGATTACTTAAACTTCAAAGCTTCTCGTTTTGCGATGGAATTACTCTCCTTGCCATCGTCTCATATTCAAGTTTCTTAAAGCTCAAGAAGAAAGTGAATTAAAAGCTGAATTCGAAGAAATGTTTTTCAAGTTCTCTTCTCAAAAAATTAATTTTCATGCATTCAAAATCAGATGCCTTGCCTTGAGCTATGAAATTGGAGCTTTCCCTTATTTTGCAAGTCAAACCCACAGCAAAATATCTTTTAATATTTCTCCCCATCTCCATTGAAATATTAAACGTTGAAGTCGTCGATTGCCTCTTCAAATAATTAAATGCCAATTATATTTGTATTTTTATCCCATTGCAATGAGGGAAGGAAGGCAAACAGAAAAGAGATGGAGAGTCTCAAGTGTTTTAATAATTAATTATCTTTCAGCGCCTGCCACTGTAACTTTTTATTTAAGGTTTTTTTTTTTACAAGTTCCACTAGTAACCTTTAAGGATCTTTTTTAATGTAAAAACTTTAAAGGAACTTTTTTTGTAATTTCCTTTAGAAGTTCTAAATTTTTAAACTTTTCCGTCTGATCAAGTTTCGAGGAATTCTTTTTATTTCCAAAGTGGCAGTTTTATAACTTCAATAAGATTCTTTCGTATCGTGTTCCGTTCCACATTGCAAGGAAATTGTTTTCGTAAAGAATTTTATCTGCAACTATGTGCTGGTCTTTCAGCGCAAGCTTCATTATTGGAAAATAAATGAAGACCGAAATTTATAATGAACAAGGTTGAGAGAGTCTATTTGTACATTTTTATTTATTTACCTTCATTTTAGCGAATGTTACTAAATGTCAAAAGCTAATTACCAATAATTAGACATCAATTAAATTCCTGAAAATGTTACATTGCAAATCCGATCTCACCGCATTTTGTTTGCAATTGTCAAGGCGACAAACAAACAAACGAGAGAAAGATAAAAGTTATGATGCTGTGAGTCTCGTAAAGCTTTCAATTTATATCGATTTGCCAGACAATTACATAAATTCATTTGCTTATCAACATCAATTAATCATATTTAACAAGCATGTACAAATCTAATTTCACAAACAGCAAATTAGTTGTATTCATAAAAAATATTAAAGTTTAAAGAGATTTTCGTGTTTCATTGTCATTTTAATTATTCGTTTGTTTTTATGTACGAATCGAGGCGGATTTCGCCATTAGATAAAAAATAATCCAAAGCTTTATTTGCGTCGCAGAGATGCACAAACACAAAAGAGTTGTTAATAACCAACAAGCCACAGACAATTTTTTTATCACGTCCAGACTTTATTAATAACAACAGTATATTGTACCGGTTAGAACCGGTTCAGTTCAGTTGAACGTTTAGGCGCCAAACCGGATGGACGCAACAAATAAATGAATACGATTTATAACGTTAATTCAAGTGTTTTATTAGCCGGAACATATATCTTCACTAAAGATCACTAGAATTTACAAGCTTAACAGCATGCATCATCTCGCAAATGTATGCAAAAGTTTATACGTTCGTGACTCTTAAATTAAGAGTAAAAAATAATCTTTATGCTTCCATTTACTCTCTCACTCGAGCAGCTTCCTCTTTGTTGATGTTTTCATTTCCACCTTTCAACGGCAACATAAAGACATAAATAATTTTAACTTAATAAAAATACATTAGTCGACAGATTTCCATTCTCGTTCACCCTGTTTCGCATATCACAACAAACATTACAAAAAGCGAATCATTACAAGTTGTTTTATTTTCATTTTGTTTTCATTTGCGTTGAAACAGTTCCTCAGATTTGCTGTCGTTAATTAAAAAAAAATGTAGATACACATATGAAATGAATGTGATGATGAAAAGTCAGTGTTAAAGAAGAGCCGAGAACAATTTTTATGATATTTCATTTTCATTTTACAGTGTGAGCATTACACACGTAGTACCGTGAAAAGTAGAAGGAAGGCGAGATGTATAATTAAATATGCATTATTGCATACATAAAATAAATATAATGACTTGATGTTAAAACTGTGCATTTAATGTCATATCAATCTTAACGCTGACTCTCTGGGGTTCATTTCACTCCACATCATTCTTTTATTTTCGCAATTCTCATTATGGATAACGAAGCCATAACGTTTCTTGTAAGTAGTCGAGTGAATGGAATAAGATTGAGTGAATATGACGTGAATGGGCTTTTCTGGATCTTCTAATTAAATTCGTTTTATTGCAGCAAACATTTTCATTTAATCTTCACGAATTTATTTGTTACATGAAATCTTCACGTCTTTCAATGAGATATCAGAAAACTATAAAAGCACTTCATACATTTCTTTTGTAACGAATTCATGAGTTGAAACTTTTTTATTGTTTAATTTTTGAAATGAAAGAATGACTTAAAGAAGACGTCTTGAATGGTTTCTCCCTGCACGATGTCGACGGATGCGACGTTTGCGAGGGAGAAAATTGAGACAACGATGTCGTAAAGTTCCATGTACGAATCTGTTCGGATGTCTCCCTCTATGACGTCCGCGACTACCTAAAACCAAGTTTTGATTTCTTTGTAGTCTCGGTCCTGGAAGTGACTGCTCTATTCCACTCATTGTCTGATTCAAAACGTTTCGTAACATCAAAGGAATCATTAAATTAGCTGAAATATTTTTAAGTGTAATTTAAATTCTTAGTTTTTGATGTCAACTTACCGAAATCAGCAATCATTTGATCCATGTTTATGTGTATATCATGTAAGGCTTTTAGGAAACAAAAATATCAAATTTTAAGTAAATTTTCGTAAAACAAAAATATTTTCATTAAATTAAGGTTACTTTGAATCAGGATTTAGTTTCGCGGATCGTGTTTCACTTTTGTTCTTCTTCTTAGAACGGAACGGAACGAGTTTTCGCTGTTCCGGAACAGATTTGTTGTCCTTTTCTATTCCTTGTTTTTATCCCAGAACAAAGCTCTGCATTGAGTTTGTTTTTACTAAAAAGAAATTGAGAAACAAAAATGAATTCTACTAAAAAGTCGCTTCTTTTCAACTCTTCAAAACCAAAATTAAATTATTTAAGTCTTGCCAAAATAAAGTTACCTCTCACTAAAAAGTAAATATTTAATTTTAATTTGTGACGAGGTAATTACTGTACCGGTTAGAACCGGTTCAGTTCAGTTGAACGTTTAGGCGCCAAACCGGATGGACGCAACAAATAAATGAATACGATTTATAACGTTAATTCAAGTGTTTTATTAGCCGGAACATTGGTGACACGGGTAAAAAACAAGTTCTAACGTAAGTACGATGTGGAATAGTATGAAAGACGCTTGGAAATCGACTTTATTTTTGAAAAAATGAATTTTTTAAAAAAATGACGAAATTTTGTATTTAATTCGAATGAAATGTCATTGAATGAATCAAAATGGACTGCTTCGGCATGAAAGTAAGATGAAAAGTGGATTGCGTGAGCATGAAAGTTTGTTTTTAAATTAATTTGGTGTGAAAGGAATGCTTCGGCATGAAAGTTGAGAAAAAGAATTGCTTCGGCATAAAAGTTGAGAAAAAGGATTGCTTCGGCATGAAAGAAAGAAGAAAATGGAAAAGCAATTGAAATGTCATGTATGATGAAAGCTGATAGAAAATGATTGTGTTTTTTGCCTACAGGACATACTAAAGAAAGGTGAAAGTGGACAAGTCATAGCAGCAAGTCGACGAGGTTTAACTAGACGGTTATTGTGTTTGGATATTCAAATTGATAACTCTGTTTCTATGCTAAACCAAGACGCAATAAGCTTATTCCTGAAGGATTGTGATTCACTATAGTAAAAGATGCTAGAAAATGTTGCAGGAGCTCGTCAAGTATTTGAGCGTTGAATTGAATGGCAACAGAAGAACAAGCATGGCAAACTTACATTAACTTCGAACTGAGATACAAAGAACTTGATAGAGCACGAAACATTTACGAAAGATTTGTAATAATACATCCAGAAGTAAAAAATTGAATAAAATAGCGTGATAAAGAAGATCCTGATATCGAGCAATTACTTCAAGAAGCTGATGATGAGAACAAAGATGCATCAATCGAGTCAACGGCTACAAAAGAAAAAACTATCTCAAAGAGTTCATTATTGTTAAAGCCGAAAATTGAAAAATTTCAAGAAAACAAAATTCAACCTTCTGTTGTTAAGAGAAATAAAAAGCCACGATCTCAACAAGTGAAAATTGAAGCAATTGATTGCAATGACAAAGACTCTAATACGAAGGAATATATTGAAATGGAATCATCAGTTATGTATAGCGAAGATGAAGACGATCAACTTGATAATGATGAAAATCTTTTTGGAGAGGAGATTTATGATATCATGGAAATAGAAAATGGAAGTACTGATAATATCTATGCTGATGAATCAGGAGGAAAACAAACGATGACTGATGGTGATGAAGAATTCATTCTTGTGAATTTTAAATCATCTAATGACGACCTAAGTGAGAAAGATCAACAATTTGTTGTTGAAGAATTAATTGATGAAGAGTTCCAAGTTGGAAGAACAGGTTCACCTCGTAAAAAGCATGTTAATCGAATGCCGAGAGAGATAATTGAAAAATATGCGCAATCAACTGATAACAATCAACATATGTGCAAAAAGTGTGTCAAAGTATTCTCAACTAGAACAAATCTTATTCGTCATATCCAGTCTCATGATGGATATAAAGCTTACGTTTGCCCGGTCTGTAAAAAGGATTCACACAATCAGGAAGTTTAAAACNTTGGAGAAACTCGACGAAGATTACAGAAATTTGTTGGAGGATTTAGAAGGATATGAAATTCAAGTTGCTGAACCACAATTGAAGCAAAAATTGATCACTCCGCTGTTTCTTGTTGATCTTTTACGTTTAGATGTTTTGTTGATATATATAGATATAAATTCTTGTAATGATGAAATTTTCTCGATCAAAAGAAAGTTACCGAAAGAAATGCCAGAAAAATCTTTGGAAAAGATAAAAGAAGAGCAGAAAGTTGTCAACGCTGCTTTTAAAAATAAAACTGACGCTCTTAATGAACTGAATAGACAAATAAACGTTTCTCATTCTAAGCTAAATGGACTACAGCTAAAACTGAATAATTTACTTAGTCAGTCAAAAGATGATGCAGAAAGGTTTAGATCAGAAAAAGAAAACTCTTGGTGAGAAGAAAAACGAAATCGCTGAACTTGATCGTAAAATTTTATTAGATGAGAAAAAGTTGCAACCATTGGAAAAGGAACTTCGTGAAATTATAAATGCAAAGGAAAATATAAAGATTTTGATTTGGATGCATTTGCTGTTAAATTAGAGAAGCACGACTTTGGGATAACGTTGTATGACACCCGTGAGGAAATTGACTCATGTTATCGTGACAAAAGAATTCCTTACGAGCCACCAACAAATGAAAAATTATTTGGGATAGTAATTGATGTACAAAGCGACATCAACATTAAAAAAAAGAAATCTAATTAACCTTAAGCGATTTATACAAAAATCCTGAATAACAATAATTTTTTTTCAAAGCTACTAATCATTTTATTTACAGATTTATTAAAACATTTCATCAGCAGACACAAATAGAGGAAAATGGGAAGTTGGAACATCAAACTGTGAAACGAAAGAAGGAAGACAATCTCGGCCACTTGGGGAGAATTTCATAGGATCTAGCTGAACACCAAAGACGAATTGCTTAAGAAAAATAAAAAACAGAAAGAAGGGAGCGACAGCGAAAGAAAATTATAATAAAATGAATTGTAAAGAAAATTAAATTATTAAAATGTAAGAAAATTTTAAATTAAAATAGAGGTGTACCGGTTAGAACCGGTTCAGTTCAGTTGAACGTTTAGGCGCCAAACCGGATGGACGCAACAAATAAATGAATACGATTTATAACGTTAATTCAAGTGTTTTATTAGCCGGAACAATTACCAACAATCGTGGTTTCAAAGTGCGGTAGCTCAAAAGGCAACACAAACAGTTCCACTTGATTTAATCAGTCAGAGATGCTTGAACACAACAGTGGCATAAACTGGGTTTTTTTTTTGAAATCTTCGAAATTTTGTCATGATAAACAACACAAACACTCACAAATAATCATGAAACAATTTCTCTTCTGGCTTTTAAGCTTTTAGGCTAAAAGCATCTCTTTGTTATTTGTTATTTTTGGACTACATAGCTTAAAATTAATGTTAAGTAGAAGAAGCTTAATTGATAACTTAATAAATCTATGAAAGATCTTTTGGATTGTAAATTATCATTGACATACTTCTTGACGACTCATTTCTTTGTTAATGTTCCTTTTGGTGTGTAATTGATGATGAACTATTAGTGAGTAATTTGGGTGAAATGATGCTTTTTGTTATCTTGCATAAACAGGTGAAAGTTTCTCTCCATGAAATGACGGAAGTTGAGTGCTTACTTAGACAGTAGTTTCAGGAAAACTTTTTCCATTGCTTAATGTAAGCCGGCTTTTAAAATAATAATCGCATAAAGATAATTGATAGTCCCATGTGCGGCATTATAATCAAACAAAGAGAAGTAAGAAACTTTAGTTCAACTCTAAACTAAATTTAAGTTAAGCGAGGTGGAAGAAAAAAATCTCAATGCCAAACAACCGTGGAAACATTAAGAAATATGTTCTAAAGTGAATCCAAACAAAGTTAACCATCTGCTTAAAACTGCTTTTTGTTTGTTCGTTGGTAAAACAAAAAATAAAATAAAAACGAGGAAAAATGTTCATTTCGTAGCTCGGCAGCTTCGGGTAAAAGACAAACGACATGCAGAGTGTTTGGATTAAAATTGATTTCCAAATACCGTGTATCGAGATATTTGAGAACGGTTCAATAAATATTGATTTAACTTATTAACATAACAAAAAAAAAATCTGCTTCTTACATAATAATGATTGACCAGGTGAGATATAAAAGAAGCTGAAAGCATAAAAATTTTGATTTACTTACATCAGAGAAGAATAAAATACGAATTGTCCTTTTTGTGTCAAAAAAGAAATGAAAAGTTGAATTATTCAACACATCAGTGAAGCAACATCAGACAGAAAACTTCTTCTTCACAAAATGTTCGAAGTAAATCGTCTTTAATGTAATTTAAACAAAATAAACTTCTTCCTTGAAACTATGAAGTGAACCCAAATCTTTCAACTCTTTGAAAACAGCTTCCATCTGACTTGGCAAAATTTCCATTTGTTCAGGATTGAGAAGAAAAAGTTCTAATGACTTTCTGTTAAACTAACACTTTCCATCGTGATTTCTTCTCAAGCTTAAACAGTGAGGAAACTTATCGTCGTCGTATGTCTCTAAAGGAGTTGTAATAAATTACACTTTATAGTTGTTTAAATTTTCTCACAAAACTCGTTTCTCTTCTCCAAAAACTAACAAAACTGCTTCGGTTTCTCTCCTTGCAAGGAAAGCCCGACACATATTTCATTGACATACATATTTGCTGTGTTAAGCACTTTGATGTGAATAATTGTAAAGTGAGAAATATCGACAGATATGGGACGAGATTAATGACTTCCGAAATATTAAAGGTGAAAGAAAACAACAGAAAATAAAAAATTATTGACAGAATTCGAACACGATTGAAGTTTGCTAAGCGTCCAAGAAGAAGTGTAAAAGACCACACGCAGCAGCTAACCAAAGTAATAAAATTTTGTAGAGCATGAAAATCCCGAAACACCAAAAATGTTTGTTTATTGTTCTTCGCTTGTTCGCACTGTCAAAATTCGAGTTTCTCAAAATATTTGAATTTTACACAAACCACGACTAAACCGCAAGGATGTCCCAACGACACGTTTTCCGGAATAATAAACCGAAGAATTTTCTATTTTTAGTACTGCTCGTCTAAATTAAACTTGAATGCTTTCAGTCTGTACAGAAAATTAATTTTCTTTAAAAACATTTCATCAATCTTCGTGCTCTTTCCAACTTAGAGAATCATAAAAGTTGTGAATGAAAAATCTTAAGACAGACAGCTATTGATTCAATTCTATAAAAACGCTCTCGCGCTTTAACTTGATTATTTATTTTGATTAGATTTCCGATTAAATCTCAGCCATGTTTCGCAAACGAGAAGTAAAAAAATCAGAAAGAAAATTTTTATGTGAAAATTGAGTTTTTCTTTCATGTTACGCTGATTGAAACTTTTCAGAGCAGGCATCCGCATGTGATGTGAGAATAAATTTGAAATCACTCAACTCAGAAGAAATTGAAATCATGTTAATTATTTAATTCAGTAATCAGCTGGATGCTTCACATATGGTTGAATTATGAACATTGTAATCGTTTCCTTTTACTTTATAAACTTCAGTACGAATAAAATTTAAGATTTTCCTAACGATAAATTTTCTTCATCTTTAACTGTAAACGAGAAATCGCATTAAAATGCATTTTAAATCACTTTTTTCATGAAATCCACAAGCTACATAGTAATCAGTGAATATAAAAACGTTTTCTTCTGGAAGTTACTCCTGAAATCACTTATTTCTGCAGTATCGACGTGCAGGGAATTTAAAACATTCAAATATCTTTTCCCCTCTTCGACATCATTGCAGAAAGCCGCAATGCGATTATGAAACACGAAATAAACTCTTTTTTTTGCACAAGATTAAAAACACATCAACGAAGGTAAAAAAGAAGCAAAAAAGGTGTCCAGTGGAGTTTTTGTTAGGCGGTGATTTTTTATCAGCTCTATTTAATGTTTTTTTACATGTAAAAAAGTTTAATCGCGAAACAACGAATATTAATCTTTATTTGGCATGATTTTATGAGTCCTTGACCGTCTTCTAACTGTTCTTCCGTGAAGTTGCCATCAAAGAAGTCGTCACTAAGTTAAATAAAACAAAAAGGAACGTAACTACCTGTTTCAATCCCATTTCACTGTCACATCCCAAAACCGGATGACAAAACAAAAAAAGGAATTTATGGGCCAAGAGTTTCATGCTAATTTTACAAAGACCTTCGCAATATTCAAGCGCCACTCGTCAAGCTGATGATTGAAAGAAAGAAAAGGACAAAAAAATGAATTCCTTATTTTTTTATGGCAGTCATAGATAAAATATTAACGGAATGTTAACATTTCCCTTCAGCACTTGTTAAGCTTTAAAAATATTTGAATTTAATTTATTCAAGTTTTTGTTTTTTTTCTGATGTTTGTCAGCAATTCACGAAGCATAAATGAATGTGACAAAAAAAATCGAATCTTCCAAATTGGGAAAAAAATCCATCAGATTGAAATTTATGTCCAAAGCATATTAAATTAATTGACAGCTTTGTTCGTTGGTTTGTCGTTTTCAATGATTTCAGTAATCAGAATTCATGTTTATTCGCTTAGTCATTGGACCCAATCAGTCGTCAAAATGTGGATTGTTTGACTGAGAAATCGTCACCTAAATGACGAACAAAATACTTTAGTTATCTCATTCATTTTTATTCGCAACATGAACATTCAAGTCGTAAGTCATTTGCGAATTCTTTTGTGGGTTTATTCGTACACAAATTCGTGTTACCACGCCAACATCATCGAAATGTTCAATGAAGGAGTTGCTTCATCCCGTGCAATTCGCATCTATCGATGATTCAATTAAATTGGATATTTTTCGTATTTATCTCTTGCATCCGCAGTTGCTCGTTGCATGGAGGTGAAAACACGGTGAAATAAAAAAATATTAATTAAGATGTTATAAAGATATAATAGGTATTTTACGGTATGAAGCTTTCAACTGCATCTCAAAGTGTTTCAACTCTTCCTTTAAAATCCTCCAATTCATTTTAAAGAACAAACAACTTAATCTTCACTTCAAGTGGACGATAATTTATCGAATCATCTTCACTGTCTCTCGACAACTTTCCTAAATTAATACTCTTAAGTAAGTAAGAATATCAGTTTCTCATTGAACAATGGACAGAAATAAGAATCTGCTTATTCATTCAAAAGAAGATTCGCCAAAAAAGCGAAGATATTTTCAACAGTGAAGTAAAGCAACATCAACGGCAGTCGTTAACAAAATGCAATCTCTGAATGAGACTTGAGAATCACTTGAACATTTCGCTTCTTCTTCATCCTCGTGCTGTGTCTTGATCTAATAAAAAAGGAATAAAAGATTTCGAGTGTCTAATTATATTGGAATGAAGCAGAAAATAAAATTCGACAGAGAATTCTTTATAATGCAAAGTTTAGTGTATAATTAAGGTGTTATCGGCAATGTTAATAAAAGAATACAACTTGAGATGTCAACAATAATCTTTTGAGATGGTAATCATTGATATCATGAGTTAATCAACGATAAAATGATAAATTTAGGAGGGAAATCCTACATTTGGCAATATTTATCTTCTTATAAGAGAAAATTTATCAAGAACTCTACATTCACAAAATGTTTTTCAATATAAAACGTGCTAGAATTTATTGGCATTGATCTTTGTCGTATTTAGTTTCGTTGCAAGAATGAACGCAAAGAAAGAATTTGTTCATCCTGAATTGCATTGTCAGAAAGTCGCTTGTATGTTTTCGCTTTTTATTGTCGTTCATTGAATCCAGGAAGGTTCTGTGTGTGCATTTTGCTTCATGCTTTATAATCTTTTAAAAGTTGTTGTTTATTGAATAAACATAAATAACGTTTAAAACTTCTTTTCTTATTCTTTTTCTTCTTCATCATTTTTGTTTGGGCGAATTTATCTCCATTCCTAGTAGCAAGAAATAAGATTCGACGAAAAGGAACAAAGCGATTGCAAAACGATGATCTTTAAGAGTTTTCTTCTCCTTTGTTCGACTTAATCGCTTTAAAACTCTTGCTTTGTTAAGCAGTTTAGCAGAATGATGAAGACGATTTTTTTTATTATTATTATCATTAAGGAATGTTATGAGAAGAACAAGCTGGAGGAAAATTCCTCTGATGCATCAATACATCGATCAATTTCATTGAACATTAAACGAATTCGTGAAGTTTCTCATCGAAATTCTGCTTCTCTCAATAAATTTATTTCAATCAAACATTTTACAATTTAAGTTAATAAACGAAATAAATTCTCAAAAAGTTTCACATTAAAATGATTTAGTGACTTGAGTTATTAACAATTGTTTGTGTATTTTCATCGTAACAAGAATCAACAAGACCCATTAAACCTCCACTTGATTCTAACAACTTGCTAACATTTTAAGAAAAATAAAAAGTTTGAAAAATTTACGTTTATTAATTCTACAAAGTTTGATATTTAAATAAATATTACATCAACCAGCTATTGATTTATTAGTGCAATAAATAGAATTGACAATGTCAAATAAGTAATAATTCAACGTCATGGCTAATTAAATTTATATCTCAACATATCAATAAATTAGCACAATTGTCGATAAAAATGACAATTAAAATAAGCAAATAAAGGAAAAAGAATTTTTATCATTGATTAATTTTTCAATTGACATTGAAGATCAATGCTGCAAGTTTCAACTATTATCTCAAAAATTTAGATCACTTTCGCACAAATGTCAATATTCCACGACTTATATCAAGATAAGAATCTGGAAACAAAAATGTGAATCACACATAAAGGAGTGTCGCACTAATAGCGAAGTTTCGTGCATTTGAATAACTTAAGAGAGACACGAAAAAATAAATTTTTATTTTATTTTACGACACATGCATTCATGAATAATTCAAATCCTATCCTTAGTGCTATTGCAGACAACTTCAAACGATAAAGGGATTAATTAACATCTTTTAAGAAAAAATAAGCTTAGGGATTGTTTCGTTTAATTGAATTTATCTTTAGATTTTTGATGTATGGGAATAATCGAATCAAGAGCGTAATGTCGATCAAATAAATTATTGTCAACGAGGCTTGTTCAGTATTTACAGTGTTTGTAATTTTGCAGCAGCTCCCAATGATTTTGTTGAATCAATATTGTTACTTGCAATCAAAAGACATTCAACTACATCAAAGCGTGAAGTCATTTGATTGATCACTTGATACAAACACGTTGTTGAATGAGCAACCATTCAGCGTTCCAATAGCGCTTCAATTTCTTCGTTTCGTTTAATATAAATTACAAATTACACACGCTGTGTGATTTAACAATCCAACGAGTACCATGCGATGAATAAATTTGTATTATGCTCAGTCTCTCTTTTCGGTTAAACATCTTTCAACAGATGCCGATCATCCTATTAATTCATTTCGTTTCATCTATCGACAAACTCAATTTTCAATGAAATAATTCAATTAAAAATAAACTCTTTTGCTCGTGTTTAATCCAAAATCCGATTAAATTTTGATTCTTTTAACATTTTTTCCATCAGTTTATGTTTGATTGTGTGTGGGGGATCCAAGATCTCTTTTAAAGTGTCAACTAAAGGCTTTAATCACTTCGGTAAATAGAAAGACAAGCAACATCAATGCACATATCAACTTTTGTTTCTGTTTTCCATTGACATTCTTCTCTTTGTATTTTATAGAAAGCAAATGCCATTGACAAAGACTCTTTAAAGTTTTCATCTGACATCAAATGACAAATCAAAGGAAACAAACCAAAAAAGAATTGAATTTGATTTTTTTTTGCTAATTTTAAGCTAAGTCAAGGTAAACAACAACAGCAGCCTGACACGAGTGAAGCCTCTGGGAATTAATCTTTTGAGAGTGTTACAAGATACAAATTTATTCCATGTAAACATATCTCAGATATCACATTTGTGAGTTTCATGAGATAAATAATTTATTTTTCTCATTCTTAACACCTCGACTTTCGTTTCTGTTGAAAAATGTGACCGAGACATGAAATTTTCTCTCACATTTCTTATTTTTCTTGAAAATACATTGAAATGTTGTTGTTCATTGGAAATTCACGAAATTTATTTTCGAACCTAAATAAAATATTCTTTTTGAAGATTTTCCTCGTGTAAATTCATTTTAAAAAAATCAATAATGCCTTTGGAGCAGAAATTTTCTTTGAACTGTTTTTATTTTCGCAGAATTAAATTCAAATGAAAAATGTTCAAGAAGATTTTTACTTAAATGTTGATGATTTGCGGCAACACTTTTATGTACACGCGAGGCGAATGAAAAAGTATAAAATAAATAAAACATAAACGTCTTCTTCAGCAAACACCTGAAATGAAATCTAATGTTTTTATTTTTCGTTTTTCTTCAAGACCGAGTCAAGACATTCTCTGTTGAACTTTTGTACAAATTTCCAACTATGTTGTTAAAAGTGTTTATAAATAAAATCAACATTATTCACATTTCTATTCTTACCCAAAACCATAAAGTTGAAACATAAATAAAGCCGATTTGTTGTGAACTTTAAATTGAGGTAATTGCTTTCGCGTGACTTTGTATGCAACACTTTACTCAAATATTTATCACAAGTATTTAGTCTTATCAAAACTTTACTGCAACTCTTATCAACTGTTGAATTAATTCTTTGTGCAATATTCATTACTCAATTATGCTCTTGCACTAATTAGACGTTATTATTGTTAAATATTTATGAGCGCTTAAAGATAAGTATAAGGTGAGTTAAATCATTATTAACAGTTTATGTTGAAAACAAGTTTTTGATCATTCTTCGTCACGTTGTTATGAAACTCCACTAACAAGTGTGCAGTTATTGTGCCATTAGACTTGCATTATAAATGTTCCCCAGTAATTGTAAAATTAATAATGTTTATGAATACATTTATGGTAAACATGCGAGATCGTAAACGTCTCGTAAACAGTGAAGCATAAATGATGTGATATTAGAATTAAACATCGTTACAAGCATTGACATGATAAATATGTTAATCTTGAAAAACTTGACTTTTCAATCAACAAATTTTCTTCCTTCATCTTTCATTTGCTTTCACGACCTCACGTTTAATGTTTATCGAGAGACACAGCAACCATTTAAGTGCAAAAAAAAATATTTAAATTGATTAATAAGCCGTCATTAAAATAGACAACATGTCATGTTTTATTAAAATTATCATTTATTTAACTTGAAACGAATGTTCATTGATTAATGATATAAATCTGCATATCTGGCGTCAAGCTTACTCGTTAAGTAATGAAATTAAATTGAAAGAGTGTTGAGAGTTCTTCTAGTGCATGTTTAAATGTTTACATTGCATCGTGTCATGTTTATTGAATCAAACTTACGATGGAAGTGACCAACTGATCAATTATATTCCAGATTGGTTCAATTTGTTATTCAATTTAAACAGATGTCGTGTCCATATTCAAACTCGACAAATTCTTAAAAGAAAGAAGCATTAATTTTTGAAAGATTGAGAAGAAATGAAGACATAAAAAAGTTCACTCTTTACGATGATCGCACGAGAGTATGATTGGAGAACAACATTTTTTTCGGCTTGTTGATCGTTTTAAGAGCAATAAAAATGTAAGTTTTCTGAAAGCGGAAAATGTGAATTTAAATAAATAAACATAAATTACATTTCAGATTCATTCATGATTCTTATTTTTCGCCTTTTGCGTCTGAGAGATCTGAAGATTTGTTATTCATTCTTCTTTCTTTTGTGCGTCGTCAACAGATCAGTTCGAGAATTAATTTTTTGTCTTTTAACCGAGATTTGTTTTATAAATAAACCTTGGCTGTGAAAATTAAGAATGAAAAGAATTCTCCACTCCAACCGATTCATTTTAAGGGAAAATTCTGTTTACGTTCCAATTAACAGATGACAACGACGTGCGACTGCCTCTGTCTCATAATTAATGGCATCGTTTAAGATGTCTCAGTTGGGTAATTGTAGACACAAATAAATATTAATCATGGTTCAGCTCTTTGACTTGACAAAAACTGCAGGATGCAACTTCAGATGTGCAATGTTTCGACATTGATTAATAACATGTCTTGTTGATTTTAAATCTCTGCGAAATATTTTTCTCTTTTTATCATTTTGACACTGTGAGTCTATAAAAGGTAAACACATTTTACATGAAAGCATTTTATAAAACTAACAAGCATGTCAGCTTCAACTTAAATCCTTTAGATCTTTTTCTCTAGTAAATGCAAAACTCACAAGTTTATTCAATTAACTTAACAGTTCATTTCTTCTTTTCTATCTTGGAAAGGAATTTAAATTTCTTAAACGCTGATGTTTCAACTAAACTCGAATCTTTTTATATATTTGTTTTCAATAATATATTGCGATACTTTAAGGGAATTATCAAAATCTCCAGTGAGATTTTTTTACAACACATTGGAGACGATAAATGTCGCAGACGGTAATTGATCTGCAATATCAATGTAATGCACTTGAATGTAAGTTCGATAAGCCTCTACTTTAAAAGTAGCACTTTAAGTTGCCAACTTTCTTAATCTTCTGTTCGAGCAACGATGTTACGACGCAGTGACAATAATTCTCAACCATAATAAGAGGCACAGAAAGTCAATTGAGATTCTTTTTTAATGTTTTTCTTAAAACTACTTTTATGGCTTTAAATTTCAAGTTTCTTTTTTTCTTATAAATTTTCATTTGTGATTTTCATTGCTTTCTGTTGTATTCGAAAACGGATTATTAAGCTTTCAACTATTACTGTTGACATGAAATGGAAGTTAAGATCATAGCATTTATAGAATGAAATTGTTAAGCTTTAAATGTCATGCATATTCATTGATATCAGACATCAAGTCGATAAGTATAAAGAGTGGCTGATGACCTCGGGTCCATGGGATGTTATTTTACGACAAACATAAAATCGATCGAAACATTGTTATTATTTGAGTTTCACCCTTTTACGAGAGTTTTATGTGAAAAAAAATGACATTTCCTTAATCTTATTTCGAGTTTGGGTCTTCTGAAGAAGTCATGCAAGATGGAAAGTCGAAGGAATTTTAACATCATGACGTGGATTATCGTGTACTCTCTCAACGACTCAGAGTGAATTTCTGTTAATGGGATTTCATGTTGAACATGGTTCATTTCCTTTACGATGTTCTATAATGTTCCCCTTTCCAAACGAATCATTTCACAATCTTCCGTTGATAGCTCGATGATATTTTGACGTTCTATAAAAAAACGAACTAACGATGATCCACTTTGAATGTTCTCTTTCATCTTCATCAACTTTAGCCCATTTCTCCAAATTCGTGTTACTTAATTAGATTGATTAATAATAAACCATCAACGAGTTTGACGTCGTTATTTCGTGTTCGCAGTCAGAAGTGATAACTATTTACATTACACACGGAAGATGATGTTTAACATGAGAAACGCTTTAGAAGAAATCCACATGAAACACCTCAAACTAAACACAACTAACTAGTTAATTTGCTCTTTCTCGTGTTACACTTTGGGTGAAGTGAAAAATCAAAGAACTTTTTACGCGCCTGACTAATTTTGAAAGGAGATTTGATTTTTCTTCATATATTCACAAGAAGGCGTGGGTGTGAGAAGGAAAAGAAAGAAAATATTTCACAATATTGAATTTTGATTAAGCATGAAATTGGAAGCTTGTTCATTTTTCAAATTTATTTTTTGTAACTTCTTCACTGATTTCTCGGCATTTCCAATTCGATAACAGCAAATTAAAGCGGGTCTTGAGAAATATCCGCACAGGTCAAAAAATGCTTTGCAACTTACGGCGATTAACATACAATGGAGCAATCAGATAATATTTAGGTTGTTCAAAGGAATTATTTAAAGTGATTTAAAGATTGCATTCCCAGTAAGAAACTTTTCGGAACTCAACTTGTAGCAGAAAACGTTAAATTTCGATACAGATCAATTTTCTCTCTCATGTTATTGCGTGGGAGTCTTTAATGTTTTGGTAATAAAATAAAATAAATTTTGTAACATAACGGTTTATCAAATTTATTGATCCAGTTCGTGGACCCATGCAAAGTTTAATAAGAGAAATAAAACCTGTAATCTCGATCATGTTCAATTGATAGCCATCGTAAGTAAAACGAAAAGAGAAACAAAAGCATCCCAATGAAATTTTTCTTTTATTCCGACATCGGAACTTTTTCAATATTTACGAAACTTGCTGTCTCATTATCATGAAAAGAGTTTTTTCAATTACAAATCATGATGATCGTCATGAGACTGCAGCAACAAAATCTTTCCATATTTTGACATCTAATGATGCCACTTGGGATAGAAAAAGAAATATTTAGTTGCCAGCTTTGATGCTATCATCGACAGCTCAACAACAATTCGTGCCCATGAATTGATGAATGTTTTAATAATTAATAAACGAAATCTAAGATTATTCTTGACGTGATGGTTTTAACATTTTTGGGCAACTAAATATTTTAATGCATTGTCAAATATTGAAAACATGAAGTGATGCGATCACTAGTTCACGAAGTATTTACATTGGATTGCACTCATCGAACTATAATTCGTGTTATGAAGGATGAAACAGTAAACAAACAATAACTATAAATACGTAGATATAGTCAATTTAACATGTAAGAAAAAGTGCATCAAGTGCACGTCGTAAGCTGCTTTAATTAATGTTTTCTTTAAACATTCACCATCGTTAATGGTTGAAAATTTATCATCTTGCGTTGGGGTCTTTTTAAAGTTTAAAAAGCATGTGAAGCTGTTGACACGATAAAAGATGTGATGCAAAGAAAGCAAGAAAAGAAATAAAATATAAAAAATTAAAAGACATAACTCCGCGAGCCCATAAATAATCTTTCTCTTTTCTCTTATGCTGCTTCTTTATTTATTTCCATATGGCCATAACTAAGATCATCGTGTAAAAATGCTGGATGAACACATCGAGAATGTGATGTTAATTCACCGTAATCACCAAGGGAATCATTGAATTTCAAATTTTACTCGGTTTTGTTACCATTCCTCATAAACATATCGTCGGTCGGTTTGCAAAAAAAAAAGAAGAAGCTACAACGAAATTTGGAATGGATATAAAATGCAAATTTTTATGAGGCTACTGTCAGTTCAAATTACATCGAATATTCAGTAAATGGGAATATGAATCAATCTTTTCGACATAACTCATAGAGAAATGTGCTCGTTTCTATTCTCCTTACGATTGGTAAGGGAAACGAGAGTGTAATGATGTGAATTTATGACTTAATTGGTTTACTTCTAATGATATTATTCATGGCTTGTAGCAGAGTCGATGGAGTTGCTTTAAGACATCATCGTTGATTCAAATTGAAGTCTGAAAAGCTTTTCCTATTAGAATCTTTTGAATTTCTAACACTAAACGGAAGCTAAAACCTCACGTCCAATTCCTTTTCTAATATCATTCACATTATTTATGTCTTTGTTAAGAAGAGACGCAGAAATTGGAAAGAAGAGAAGAATAAAAACGTGAAAACGTCGAAAATCCGCACCATAAAAACTTTATTATGCTCATGAAAACATCATAATTATGAGATCGTAAAAGATTTTCTGTCTGAGTTGCAGTTGATGATGGTTTTCTAAAAAATATGTCCTCGAGACAAACATCAACATCATGATAAGTAAAGAAAACCCTTCTCTCTCTCTCTCTCTCTCTCTCTCTCTCTCTCTCTCTCTCTCTCTCTCCACACATAACAAAAAAAAACATAATGAATGTCCATAAACACTGATAGTTTATCATAAAGTCAATAATTTCTTTCTCCCTATCACATAGTCATAAATACAAATATTTTAGATGGAGAACAGCGTCAGTGTAATAAATATTTTCCCCTTCATGGAGGTTTAGAAAAAGGACTTCGATTATGTTCCACTGATATAAGTTCTGGAGTTGTTGCCATTACAGAATATTTTTACTGCTCAAGTGCGTGTAAGATAACACTTTGATTTAGGTGTTTTCTCCCTCCGATTAATCTCCTCAACGTTATCGAAGTAAAACTAGCTGACGAAAGTTTTCTTACTGGGGAGAAACATGCTTGAATCCATAGCGAATAATCGAAAGCATCTAAGCAATAAATCCTTTGAAATGGACTTCGAGTTGAAATAGCAAAGCGCAATAGGATTGTGAATAATAAGAGCTTAGATATTTAAATTTGTATAATTCAGTCGAAATGTAGAAAGAGATTTGAAATTTATTTCGACTTCCTTATCGGGAATGAATCGAAGGCTTCGATTCGAAGCTAATTGCAGCATTTACTAAACATAATTACATTCGGGATTAAATTTCCATACCAATTAAATATCTCATTGTTTGTTTGAAGATGTTTAAGAACATTTTCTGTTTAACATTAAATTTTATAGATTCTGATCGTCTTTGTAGAATATTTAAAGTGTCACGACTTGATATGTTTATGTGAATTTCATGAACAAACTGAAATATTTTATTAAACAACAAACTTAAACTGTATCAATAAATGGCAGAATAGTAATCGTTATTCCATTGAATCTCGTTGATAAGCAAAGGAAGGGGAAATCGATGTCACAATCACAATTGAACATAAATTATGGTCCATTTCGTAATTGTCGTTCACTCACCCTTTTCATTGCATTTTCATGTCCGATCCACCATGGTTTATGCTTGAAAAAAAAGTCATATGTTCGATATTTGTTATTGTCGCTTTATTCTACCTGCTGCTGCAGGAAAGAAATGAATATAATAAAACATGGAATCATAAAATTGTTGTCCATAGAATTTTTTTCCTCTTTTTCTTTATTATCATACGTATGAGAAAAATTGCTATCCGCTTGCAATGGGAATTATGATACATAGTGAATGAATACTGAACGAGTTTTGCTTTCATCATACTACCAACTAGCATGTTGAAAATTTTCAACGAACATTAAATTGACATATGAATTTAAATATGAAATTTTCCATGTTGAGTGCAACTTGAATCTCTACTAGCAAGCTGAATACTTTCAATTTTTATCAAATATCCTCACATTAGATTCAGCTAGACGTCATTGTTGTGAGAAGTTCCAGAAATTCTATTTTCATCTCTAGAGTTTTCTCAATTGTTGTTTAAGCAAATTGCTTGCAAATGTTTCAAAACTCGACGCCCTAAAGATGTCAGAATAAAAAATTCTTCAGGCACTTTTTATATTAATTCTAAATACCTTTTGTTGTCTATTGAAAAGATCAACACTCGCTTCATAAGCAAATTTTTAGAACTGAAATTATCTCGTACAAATATTCATGTTTTGTTCTCGAAGAGCACATGAATGCATAATAAAAGTTAGTTAAGTTTGTAGTGATTGAAAAGGAATTTAGTGTTTCATGTTAATTGTTCTATTGAGCGAATATTTATGTGGAGCATAAAAGAAAATGAAGTTTTTATCTAAAATTCTTTACATTGTTGATATCGGTTCATGCATTTTTAAATATGTTGAAGATTAGCACTAACAAGTAAAATTATCCAGCTGCGCTTAAATGCGAGCAATGAGAACTAAATCGTTGAAGAATACTTTCAGCAGCTACTTAACCACGGGAAATTTTTTTACAAGCGTCGGACACAATGTGAAATTATCTCATAAAACTGAATTGGAAGAGTTCATAAAACATCCTAAAAAGTTCTTTTCGTTTTTATTGCATTAATAACCGTAATTTAGCATCATAAACTTTTTCGGGAAAGTTTTCAGTGACAACTTGAAAGTCGTTGACATTGAACTTTTATCTTCCATTTCTCTAATTTCTTTTTATTGAATTGAGTTTTATTGCGTTGAAAGGAGCATCGTTTTACGACCCATCATCAATAATTCAGAGCAGCTGTCGTGTAGAAAATTGCAAAGTGGTAATTAAATATTCAACAGATGACCAGAAGCGCACATGAGCTTTGTAGCATTGCGCATAACATCAACTATCGATGAACGTTAATCAATTATCCACTCAACATGAAAAAAAATCAATGAATGAGAATTTTTATTGAGTGAATTTTGCAAATATTTTAATGTCTCGTTTACATAGTTGAATAAATACTTGATAATGGGTTTGACTTTATTTTTATTCACTTTTTTAACCCAAAACTGAACAACGACAATTCACAACAATTTTCATGTTTAACCAACAACCAGCACACGCAGATTGAATAAATTTGAACAATTTTTTATCAATCATAGAAATGCACATCGAAGGCTGCATAAAAATCTTTGTTGAAATAATAAAATTAAAATTTCCTGGCAAATATTTCACTTGGTGATGTTGATTATTTACAATTTGTTAATGATTCGCAATGTTTGAGATTATGTTTTAAAATTAAAAAAACATTTGATCGATCAAAACGATGTCAGATGAGCTAGCAGCAAATTGTTTGATTCACAAACCTTCTAAAAATAGAATATCAAAGCAACATGTCGCACCTGCATTCATGAGTCCAATCACAAATCAAATAAATTAATTCTTTGATTTTCTGTCTGCGTCGCCAATTCTTGTTCGGAATTTCTATTTTATTATAAAAATGCTTTTGTCGGAACTGTTGACAAAGGCAAAGATTTTTCATGCTCATGACAGTTGCTTGAAAAGGGTGCATTAAGATAATTTATGTTTGTCAATTTAGAGAAGAAAAAAGAAGGAAAAAAAAAAGAAATTGGATTAAAATGTAATAAAAAGAAATGGTTTTTGCGAAACAAAATGAAATTTATATTTCGTCTCATGTTTCAAAGCTTTTATTCTTCATGTGCGGAATGAATTTAATTCCATGAAGATCATCCGGTTTTACGATGCATTGTTGTGAATATTTTACCACCGTATTGTCCCTAGGTTAAAATTAGTCACATCATTTAACAAGTATCAAGCTTAATGTCAGATTTGTTAGTTGCACCATCGTCGTAATTAATTTGCGTAGAGCTAGAAAACTAATTCATTTAATGAATTCATCTGACAATGACCTAACATTTGCATAAAGTAATAAAATCGAGAACAAAATGTAAATTTTTGTTACAGTTACAAATCATCATTTTAATCAGAATAATATTCAATCTTAAGTGAGAATGATTGACTTCAAAAAATTATCATAGTACAATAAACGTAAATTCACCCACCAACATTTCAACCCCACAAAAATCAATTCTTATTTAATAATAATAATTAAAACATGATTCCGCACTTTAATTTGAGTCACCCGCTGTGACATTCCATGGAAAACTTCAGCATTTTGTTTCACTCAGAATTTAATTATATTTTGTAATTTATAATGAATCGTGTGATGAATATGATGACGATGAACTCGTGTTAATTAGTGTTTTAGAGTCATTTAATGCTTATTAACTTTTTAATCGCGAATTTGAATTTAATAAAGCGTCTCGCAAATTAATCTGGGAAATGTTTCATTTGTTTGAATTGTTATTATCTAGATAGTGACGTTTGTTTTTAATTAACTAGTTGGTGGTATTTACAATTAGAAATTCTTATCGCTCCATTAATGTAGATGTACAGATTATGATGAATAATTGCAATATGTGCCGTTCCGCTTATAACTGATTAATGCATGTTAATTAATGGAATATTTCTTTGATTGCTAAACTATTAAACTGGATTTTTGGAATAAAATAGAACTTTCATATTTATTTAATCTATTAAGTAATCATTTCGAAAGCAACTTTTTACTCTTCCCACCTACTTTCTTCAACTATTTTGATAAAGAAAACTTGTAAGCTTAGAAATGTAAACCGAGTTTTTATATCTTTATGTCGTGTTAATAAATTAACTGACTTTGACATCAATCTGCTCGTTCTAAAAACATTCAAGCAGTAATATTTTGAAATTTTCAGATTATCGAAGCATCAATTCAATTCCTTTGTTTCTAAATGTTCTCGGACTCAACCATGTAGTTATTCTAAAAATATAAAATGAACTTTGATTATCAAAAAATCAGATAAGTTTGTTGAATACCTTTTATCGTCCCATATTGCGTCTTCGAAAATATTTACAAAGCTTGATCTTCTCTTAGCAACGTTCAAATTTGATTAAAACATCAAAGACCAAAGTAACATATAATCAAGAGACTGTGTTTAGTTAATCAACCAAGTGGAAAGAAAGAGAGAGCAAAATATTTTAGTCAAACTTTGAAACAATACGATGCGAATGGATGAAACAACAGAAAGCAAGAGTTTCAGGTTTTGCTGATGTTATGACGCTATCAGTTCAACTCTTTCGAGTTCGAGTGACGCAAAACGTTTGTCTTAAGCAATGTCTAACATCAGTGCCTTAAAATTTAATACTGGATGGGCCAATATCAAACTTGAAATATAAATTCGTCAGTAGTCAAACCAGTCTCTACGAAAAAAGACAAAAGAAGAGTTTCGGAATCCATTAAGCTACATTTTAAACATTTATTCAACTTTTTCTTGTATCTAACAAGTCTATTTTTTTTTGGGTCTGGCCAGCTTTCCATTTCACGTTTTGCTTTTGTCTGGGACAGTTCACAGCTTTTTTATATTTGGAGAAAAAAAAGAAAAATTTCTCAAGTTATTTTGGAAAAAGAAGATTTTACGAGAAAAATGACAGAATTAAATTCGGTTCAGCAGTTTTATGCTGGAAAAACAATTTTCATAACCGGTGGGTCAGGATTTATGGGAAAAGTGCTGATCGAGAAGTTGCTTTACTCATGTACTGATCTTAAGGAATTAATCATTTTGATGCGTCCAAAACGTGATAAATCAGCAGCACAACGCGTGGAAGATTTTACCAAATTGGCTGTAAGTTTGAATTTTACAAAATAAAACTCGATCGTCGTTAAAAAGAAACTAAACAATAAAACTTCATAGTTCCGTGTGACAAAAACTTTTTCTTTTTTCATTTCATGGAATGCGTTATCTAACATTTGATGTCCAAAAGATGTTCAAGCGAATAATGGACGAGAAACCTGAAGTGATGAAGAAAATTTTCCCTGTTTGGGGCGATGTGTCAGTGCCGGACTTTGGACTTAGCGATGAACATCTCAGGAGAGTCACGGAAAACACGGAAATTGTGTTTCATTTAGCTGCAAGTTTAAAATTGGAAGCAACTTTAAAGCCAAATATTCAAACAAATTTGACAGCTACGAAATTTGTGTTGGATGTGGCAAACAAAATGAAGAATCTTGTAATCATGATACATACGTCAACAGCGTTTTGCAACATTGAACACGAGGTCATGGAAGAAAGAGTTTATGACTATCCCCACCGTCCCGAAGACCTTATTCGTTGTGCTGAATGGATGAGTGAAGATTCAATGGCATTGGCACAAAAGGAGATTCTTGGATTGCATCCGAATACCTACACGTAAGCACAAATAATCACTTAGGATGACTTGACACTTTTCATTTGCATAATATTCAATTCATAGCTACACGAAACGACTTGCGGAGATTCTTGTTCGAGATGAATACAACAAGGGAACTTTGCCGGTTTGTATCGTTCGACCAAGTATTGTCTGTCCGGCATATTGGGAACCAGTTAGTGGTTGGGTAGACTCGGTGAGTCATTCCTTAAATATTTATTATAAAGTTTTATTGATCAATGAATATTTCTAGTTGAATGGACCACCAGGAATTCTCATCGCTGGTGCTAAAGGTGTTCTCCGATGTATGTTGCTCAATAAAAAATCAAATTTTGAAGCAATTCCTGTGGACACTGCTATTAGTGGCTTAATCATGATAGCGAAACATCTTGGAACACAGAACATGAGGTATTTTGAATGAAAATATTCAAAATTTTAGTGACGTGTTGTTCAACATTTTTTCCTTTTCTGCTTTAGGCCCAAAGAAATTCCGGTCTTCAATGTGACGAAACACAAATCGCGGCGTGTTACATATGGAGAATTTTTCGATGTGGCTAATCAAATGAAGTTCGAGATTCCATTTGTGATGAGTCTTTGGTATCCAAATGTTACGATAACACAAAACAAATTCTATTATTGGTTTAATGTTTTGCTTTTCCAATGGTTGCCTGCTTATTTCGTTGACTTTTTGTTCATGTTGTTTGGACAGAAGAGATTGTAAGTCTTCATTTATTAAATATTTATACAAATTCATTAAATAAGTTTCTTAAATTTATTTCAGCATGGTTCATGTTCAGAGAAAAATTGCTATTGGAATGGATGTTATAAAATTTTTCACAATGAATGATTGGAATTTCAAATCTGATAATTTTGTTAGCCTTGTGAAGATACAATCGCCGGATGAATATAAAATGTTTCCAATTGATAGTGAAAACATGGGCGAAACTTTGGATTACTTAAGAATAACAATGTATGGTGGACGAGAGTATTGCGGAAGAGATCCTTTGAGTACTGTTCCGAAAGCTAGGATAATCATCAGAATGTGAGTTAAATTAAAAAAATCTCAGCTGAATTAATCAAAAATATTTTATTTTAGACAATACGTGATCGATTGTTTGGTGAAATTATTTTTCTTCTACTGGCTTATCAAGAAAGTTTTAATCTACACTGGTCTGTTTGAGCCAACTGTCGCTATCATTAACAACTTACAGGGATCAACGAAGAGCGAATAGGAATAATTTTAATATTAATTTAAAACAATTTTTTATTTAAAAATTGTATCATAATATTGGTTTGAAGTTTTAAGTGAGTGTTGTTGAAATTATTATGAAATGTTTAAAATTATCAGGATTTTCTTCGTTTGTTGTTAGATATCATGATTAGTTCATAAATTTTTAGATAATGTGTTTGTAAGATTGAAGTGTCTGCAAAGTAAAAGAATAAATTTGAATAAATTAAATATCAAAACTTTTTTAAAAACAAATCTTGTAATAGTTGAAATTTAAAGTTTTCACTAATATTGGTCTTATCTTCGTTTCGAAATATTCATAAATTCATTCGGTAATTTTAATTAATTTTTTTTTCTATCATTCATAGTTGGGAACTTATTTATGACTTTATATGGGAGAATAAAATAATTGTCAGCTTTTAAAATATCGCGAAAACTTCATAATGATGCTATTATTTCTGCAAATTTATAAGCCATAATAAACTAAATACCATAAACATTTAAAGTTATTTTTAATATCAAAACATTGCCCAATTCTTTTTTATTTAGTATTAACCAATTCGGGGTTTGTTTCGTTTTTTTTTAACTTTAAATAGACAATGTTGTTGTGTTTCGAATTTGAATACTATAAAATATTTGAAAGCAAATGATCATCATGACAAATAACTCTTCTCATATTTATCATAATGCACACAAATTTAAATAAGGTGAAAATATTTTCACAAACTGTTTTTCTTAAATTTGTATAGAAATAACGTAACAAGTTTTACATATATTGGAATCAAAATTTGATATTTCTATTAGTGCCTCATCTTCTGTTCGAATCGGACGAATATAGATTTAGTCTTAAAGTTAAAAACAAATTTAAAATTTGAAGAAATGGAGAATTTAAATTCAATTCAAAAGTTTTATGTGGGAAAAACAATTTTCATTACTGGCGCTTCTGGTTTTATGGGCAAAGTGTTAATTGAAAAGCTTCTTTACTCGTGTAGTGATGTCGAGAGAATTTTTATTTTAATGCGACCAAAGCGTGGAAAGTCAGCTCAAGAACGTGTAGATGGCTTCGCAAAACTTGTGGTGAGAATAGATTGAATTAAATATTCCAAGATTAGACTTTAAAATGTTTGAATCAACGTAATCGAGAACATACAAAGATGATTTGTCAAATAGAAAGAAAATATTAAATATTCATAAGCTTTTCCCTTTCAACACAAACATGGAACCTATGCAAGACCATATCGTTTATCAAGTTAAATAATTTGATGATTCAATCGACAGGTTTTCAAACGCGTTGTAGACGAGAAACCGTCGACGTTGAACAAGATTTATCCTGTTTTTGGAGACATCACACAACCAAATTTCGGTCTCAGTGATGAACATCTTAAGTTGGTCACTGAAAGTACTCAAATTTTCTTTCACATGGCAGCTTCATTGAAACTTGAAGCTACTCTCAGACCAAACATCATTATGAACCTTTGTGGAACAAAATATGCCCTTGATGTAGCTAAACAAATGAAGAAACTCATTCAAATGGTTCATTTGTCGACAGCGTTTTGTAACATTGAACCTGAAATTGTGTACGAAAAAGTTTACGACTTTCCGCATTGTCCAGAAGATTTGATGAGATGTGCAGAATGGATGAGTGAAGATGCTATGGCAAGTCTTCAGAAAGAAGTTTTGGGACCTCATCCAAACACTTACACCTACACTAAACGATTGGCGGAAATTCTCGTTCAGAATGAATTCGGAAATCTTCCAGTTTGCATAGTTCGTCCAACATTAGTCACACCAGCGTTGTATGAACCAGTTCCTGGTTGGGTTGACTCTCTTAATGGTCCTATTGGAATCGTTTATGCTGGTGGGAAGGGAGTGTTGAGAAGCATGCTCATTACTAAAGAAGGAAGGTTTGAAAGTGTTCCCGTTGATGTTGCAATCAATTCTCTTATTGTCATCGCTGAAAAGATGTCAACAGCTGTGGAAAAGTAAGAAAAAAATTTTCTTGAAAGTAAATTAAAACATTTTAATGATTTCTTTGACTACTTAGACCAAGAGAGATTCCCGTTTTTCATACAACAATCCACAAATCACGTGTTATGACCTACCAGGAATTGTTTGATAAGTTTTTGGCAGGTGCAATAAATTATCCGTATAGTTGGCCCGTATGGTATGTGACTAGATGAATTGAATTAAAGAATCATTAATTCATATCTGAATTGTATTTTACCCCCAGGTATCCTAACGGCTGTCCCACAACAAGCCGCACAATTCATGTGCTAAAAACTTTCTTCTTTCAATGGATTCCTGCATATGTTCTTGATTTCTTGTTGATCGTTTTCCGACAGAAACCGATGTAAGTTTCAATTCAAATTATCACTGATGAACTTTAATTATTTTCAATTTACAGCTTAGTTAACATTCAGAAGAGAATTGCTGTTGGTAGTGAAGTTATTTTGTTTTTCAGGTAATCTAAATATATCACGATCCCTTACCCTTTGTGATCTAGTTGACAAATTAATTAATTTAATTCAATTTAATTCTTTTATTCCATTGTTTTCTTCAGTACAGGAATTTTTACCTTCAACGCTGACAAATTTGAAGCTTTATTCAAGTTAATGACACCAGAAGAACATAAAATGTGAAGCTTAACTCCTATTTTCATTCAGATGAATTAATGAAATTTGATTTCAAACTGCAGGTTTCTTGTGAATACAGATAAAGCTAAATCAAATATCGATGAAACTGAATACATCAAGCAGTGTGCTTTAGGTGCAAGACAATATTGTGTCAATGATCCATTGAGTACTCTTCCGACCGCTAGACGAGTCTATAAAGCGTGAGTTATTCTAAATTATATTTTTTCGTAAAATCCTATTAAATTTAAAAATATTCGTAGATCAATCGTCATCCATGTCACATTTCTTGCTTTTTTCTGGTACTACGTCATAAAAATGATGTTGAAGCTTTTCGGATTGTACGATCCACTTATGAGTACACTTGAATATTAATACAGTGAACTCTTTATATAACATTTCTGAAGGGACCGCAAACATTGATGTTATATGGAGAGAAATGTTATATATAGAGGATGTTACATGGAGAGTTCACTGTATTACTTAATTACATTTTGATAATAGTGGAAACAAATCACGACGTAACATCCAGCAATTTTGATATTTGAATTTTAATCACTTTTTTTTTGTTTTAATGTTATCTAAATGAATATAAAATATTAAAATAAAATGAAAATGTTTTCGCAAAATCTTCCAAAACCAGTTTTTTTTAAATTTGTATAGAAATATCGTAACAAGTTTATGGAACCAAATTAAATTTTTCTATTAGTGTCTCATCTTCTGTTCGTATCGGATGATTATAGATTTTCTCTTAAATTTTACCAAAATTAAAATTTGAAGAAATGGAGAATTTAAATTCAATTCAAAAGTTTTACGTGGGAAAAACAATTTTCATTACTGGCGCTTCTGGTTTTATGGGCAAAGTGTTAATTGAAAAGCTTCTTTACTCGTGTAGTGATGTCGAAAGAATTTTTATTTTAATGCGACCAAAGCGTGGAAAGTCAGCTCAAGAACGTGTAGATGGCTTCGCAAAACTTGTGGTGAGAATAGATTGAATTAAATGTTCCAAGATTAGACTTTAAAATGTTAGAATCAACGTAATCGAGAACATACAAAGATGCTTTGTCAAATAGAAAGAAAATATTAAATATTCATAAGCTTTTCCCTTTCAACACAAACATGGAACCTATCCGGGACCATATCGTTTATCAAGTTAAATAATTTCATGATTCAATCGACAGGNCATAGTTCGTCCAACCATAGTCACACCAGCGTTGTTTGAACCAGTTCCTGGTTGGGTTGACTCTCTTAATGGTCCTATTGGAATCGTTTATGCTGGTGGGAAGGGAGTGTTGCGAAGCATGCTCATTACTAAAGAAGGAAGGTTTGAAAGTGTTCCCGTTGATGTTGCAATCAATTCTCTTATTGTCATCGCTGAAAAGATGTCAACAGCTGTGGAAAAGTAAGAAAAAAATTTTCTTGAAAGTAAATTAAAACATTTTAATGATTTCTTTGACTACTTAGACCAAGAGAGATTCCCGTTTTTCATACAACAATCCACAAATCACGTGTTATGACCTACCAGGAATTGTTTGATAGGTTTATGGCAGTTGCAATAAATTATCCGTATAGTTGGCCCGTATGGTATGTGACTAGATGAATTGAATTAAAGAATCATTAATTCATATCTGAATTGTATTTTACCCCCAGGTATCCTAACGGCTGTCCCACAACAAGCCGCACAATTCATGTGCTAAAAACTTTCTTCTTCCAATGGATTCCTGCATATGTTCTTGATTTCTTGTTGATTGTTTTCCGACAGAAACCGATGTAAATTTCAATTTGTTTATCACTGACGGACTTTAATTATTTTCAATTTACAGCTTAGTTAACATTCAGAAGAGAATTGCTGTTGGTAGTGAAGTTATTTTGTTTTTCAGGTAATCTAAATATATCACGATCCTTACCCTTTGTGATCTAGTTGACAAATTAATTTATTTAATTTTTTTATTCCATTGTTTTCTTCAGTACAGGAATTTTTACCTTCAACGCTGATAAATTTGAAGCTTTATTTAAGTTAATGACACCAGAAGAACATAAAATGTAAAACTTAACTCCTATTTTTATTCAGATGAATTAATGAAATTTGATTTTAAACTTCAGGTTTCTTGTTAATACAGATACAGCTAAATCAAATATCGATGAAGCTGAATACATCAAGCAGTGTGCTTTAGGTGCAAGACAATATTGTGTCAATGATCCATTGAGTACTCTTCCGACCGCTAGACGAGTCTATAAAGCGTGAGTTATTCTAAATTATATTTTTTCGTAAAATCCTATTAAATTTAAAAATATTCGTAGATCAATCGTCATCCATGTCACATTTCTTGCTTTTTTCTGGTACTACGTCATAAAAATGATGTTGAAGCTTTTCGGATTGTACGATCCACTTATGAGTACACTTGGATATTAATATTGTTTAATAACATTTTGATACTGGTGGATGCAGAAACCTTTAAAATTTTTCATATTCAATTAAATAATCATGAGATTTGTGTTTTGTTTTCACGGCTTTATAAATTATCAGGAAAGGTCCACGAAGATTCATTCCGCGATTTTGGTATTTGATTCTTCATCACTTTTTTTATTTCATTGTTGAACGGATATAAAATATTAAAATAAAATGAAAATGTTTTCACAAAATCTTCCAAAACCAGTTTTTTTCTTAAATTTGTATAGAAATATCGTAACAAGTTTTGGGAATCAAATGATATAATTCATATTAGTGCCTCATCTTCTGCTCGTATCGGACGATTATTGATTTTCTCTTAAATTTTTAACAAATTTGAAGAAATGGAGAATTTAAATTCAATTCAAAAGTTTTATGTGGGAAAAACAATTTTCATTACTGGCGCTTCTGGTTTTATGGGCAAAGTGTTAATTGAAAAGCTTCTTTACTCGTGTAGTGATGTCGAAAGAATTTTTATTTTAATGCGACCAAAGCGCGGAAAGTCAGCTCAAGAACGTGTAGATGGCTTCGCAAAACTTGCGGTAAGAACATTTTGTTTTAATTAGTTTTAAAGTATTAAAATTAATTTATTCACATGTGTTTAATTGTAATACAAACGTTAACGTAATATCAATTATCACAATCGGAAACAGCGGATATAATTTCATTTTTTCAAATATCGATCTTGAAATGCTTAAACATTATTTAACTCATAAGCTTTTCCACTTTGGCACAAAAGGAATTTAGCAAAGATATTTTAAAGCATTAGAAAATGCCACAATGGGTTGAAACTGTACGATACATCTTTCTGATAGTTTCCACCAAATCTACATAGTTGATAATATATAATCACGTCAAACATATTCATGTCATAATCAACAGGTTTTCAAACGCGTCTTAGACGAGAAACCGTCGACGTTGAAAAAGCTTTATCCAGTTTTTGGAGACATCACACAACCAAATTTCGGTCTCAGTGATGAACATCTTAAGTTGGTCACTGAAAGTACTCAAATTTTCTTTCACATGGCAGCTTCATTGAAACTTGAAGCTACTCTCAGACCAAACATCATTATGAACCTTTGTGGAACGAAATATGCCCTTGATGTAGCTAAACAAATGAAGAAACTCATTCAAATGGTTCATTTGTCGACAGCGTTTTGTAACATTGAACCTGAAATTGTGTACGAAAAAGTTTACGACTTTCCGCATTGTCCAGAAGATTTGATGAGATGTGCAGAATGGATGAGTGAAGATGCTATGGCAAATGTTCAGAAAGAAGTTTTGGGAGGTCATCAAAACACTTACACCTACACTAAACGATTAGCTGAAATTCTCGTTCAGAATGAATTCGGAAATCTTCCAGTTTGCATAGTTCGTCCAACCATAGTCACACCAGCGTTGTTTGAACCAGTTCCTGGTTGGGTTGATTCTCTTAATGGTCCTATTGGAATCATGTATGCCAGTGGAAAAGGAGTGTTGAGAACCATGCTTATAGACGACAAAGGAAAATTTGAAAACATTCCCGTTGATATCGCAATCAATTCTCTTGTTGTCATCGCTCAAAAGATGTCAACTGCTGTAGAAAGGTGAGTGGAAAAAAATTTGATTTGAAAATATATTAAAAGCTAATTAAATGATTTCATTTTTAAACAATTTTAGGCCAAGAGAAATTCCCGTTTTTCATACAACACTCCACAAAACACGTGTAATTACTTTTCGAGAATTATTCGACAAGACGGTAGCAATTGCGAGAAATTATCCGTACAGTTGGCCAATTTGGTAAAATAATGAAACTATCTGAATAATATTTTTCTCATCCTTTTGAAATTTCACTCAGGTATCCTGCCGGAGAACCAACAACTAATTATTGGGAATTTAAATTGAAGACTTTCTTCTTTCAATGGATTCCTGCATATGTCATTGATTTCTTTTTGATGGTTTTCCAACAGAAACCGCTGTGAGTTTGAATTTGATTATACATTTAAAAAGGATTCTAATTGTCTTAAATTTGCAGCTTAGTTAACATTCAGAAGAGAATTGCCGTTGGATGTGAAGTTCTTATGTTTTTCTGGTAATTTTTTTTTCATTGGGAACGAAAGGAAACTAGTTAGCTGTGTTGACCTTCATGGTCTAGTTAACGAGACATCAATTCTGAATTACTCTTTTTTTTAATCCGCAACATTTTATATTATTCACTATTTTTGTCTTCAATTTCTAGTACAAGAAACTGGAACTTTAACGCTGAGAAATTTGAAGCATTATTCAAGCTAATGACACCAGAAGAACATAAAATGTAAAGCTTAAGCATTTGTTTTTCGATTATTATAATGCATCTTAAATTAATTTTCAGGTTTGCTGTTGATACAGAAAATGTTGGTGATGAATATGAATACATCAAGTCATGCATTTTGGGTGCAAGACAATATTGTGTCCGAGATCCATTGAGTACTCTTCCGACTGCTAGAAGAGTCTTTAAAGCGTAAGTATTTGTGTCTAGGCTTTTTCAGTAATTTGATTTGCATATTCAAATTAAATTTGCAGATCATACGTCATTCATTTGATCTTTCTTGGTCTCTTTTGGTACTACGTCATAAAAATGATGTTGAAGCTCTTCGGATTGTACGATCCACTTATGAGTGCTTTTGGATATTAATGTTGTTTAACAACATTTTATTACTGCTGGATTTGGGATACATTTACATATGGACATAGATCGACATACATATTTGGTGGCTTTTGGAAATTCCATCAGTTATAAAATTTCAATTTCAACGAACCTTGTTAATGAATTAAAATTTAATTTAAAAGCAAAGATAAACACTCTCAAGAAATGCTTTAATTGTTTTTTTTACTTATCGGAATCCATAATCATACTTACAAAAAGTTTTCATCCATGTCTAATGATATCAATTTAAAATTTTTAGATTACTCACGTTGCCTAAAATTTTAAAATAAAAATTCAAGATTTTGGACTTGCCCAAACAAATATTTTACGCAACAAAATTATCGCCCTAATCCGGGCACATACTATATACAACAATTGTTTAAGATACAGACGAGATTTACTCACGCAAATAAAAGATACTCTTTCAATGTTAGTTTGATTTACTTCACTCCGACTCTTTTGTATTTCTATTTCACTCGTTCATTTTTTAGTTTCGTATAAAATTCAGGAGAAAATCTCAGCAAAGATTTAGTTGGCTTTTGCTGATTGTTTAGAAAAGACTTGCAGAATTTAAAATAAAAAAGTTACAATGGAAATGAATTCAGTTCAAAAGTTTTATGCAAAGAAAACAATTTTCATAACCGGAGCTTCGGGGTTTATGGGAAAAGTGTTAATGGAGAAATTGCTTTACACATGCGATGATATTAAAGAAATTATTATTTTGATGCGTCCAAAACGTGGAAAGACTGGTCAACAGAGAGTCGAAGAGTTTGAGAAAATTCCTGCCTTTTGGCGGATAATGAAGGACAAGCCACAAGTAATGAAAAAGATTACGCCCGTTTGGGGTGATATAACTTCTGTTAACTTGGGACTAAGTGATGCACATTTTAAGAAAGTCACAGAAAACACGGAAATTGTTTTCCACATGGCAGCATCGTTAAAGCTGGAAGCAACTCTTAAGCCGAATATTTTAGCGAATCTAACAGCAACTAAACACGTTTTGGATATCGCTGAAGCAATGAAAAATCTTATTCAATTCATGCATTTATCAACAGCTTTTTGCTGTCCAGATCAAGAAGTTTTAGATGAAAAAGTTTTTGAATTTCCCCAGAAGCCTCTTGATCTTATCCGTTGTGCTGAATGGATGAGTGAAGAAGCAATGCATGCAATCCAAAAGAAAGTTCTTTTGTTTCAACCAAATACTTACACTTACACGAAAAGATTGGCTGAGATTCTTGTGCGTGATTATTACGATCATCTTCCAGTGTGCATTGCTCGACCAAGTGTTGTGACGCCAGCTTTTACAGATCCATTACCTGGATGGGTTGATTCCCTTAATGGGCCACCAGGAATTTTCTTAGCAGCTGCAAAAGGCGTCTTAAGAAGCATGATGATCAATGCTGATAGTAAAATGGAAGTAATCCCTGTTGACGTTTGCATCAACGCACTCATTTACGTGACAAAACATCTCGCAACAAATCCAAGATCAGAAGAAATTCCAGTTTACAATATGACGATTCACGAATCACGAAAAATTACAAATGGTAAAACTTTTGAGTACACAAGAATTTTGGGTAAGAAATATCCATGCTCAGCTGGGCTTTGGTAAGTCGAAAGTAGATAATTTGGAAAATTGAATTGGTAAGAATTTCGATCCCTTTTCTTTAGGTATCCTGACGGTGACATTACACAAAATGTTTTCATTCACACAATTAAAGTCTTTCTATTTCAATGGGTGCCAGCGTATCTTATTGACTTCATTTTATTGATCACTGGGCAGAAGAGATTGTAAGTCTAACGATTCTTTACACAATTTCTAAGGAAATCATTCGGAAAACTTAACTTCCATTTACAGCATGGTTTATGTCCAAAAGCGTATTAGCACTGGAATGGAAGTGCTTCAGTTCTTCACAATGCGTGATTGGAACTTCAAATCTGATAAAGTGCAAAATTTACTTAAAACTTATGAGGGGCCAGGAGAAGAAAAAATGTTTAATTTTGATTCTGAGAACACTGGCGATGAGTTTGAATACTTGAAGACATGTCTTCTTGGTGCGCGACAATATTGCGTAAAAGATCCCCTGTCAACTCTTCCAAAAGCTCGAATTCAACTAAGAATGTAAGTGCATTCATTTTAGGTCATTTCAAACTTGATTATTTGACTTTAATTTTGTTTATTAGTCAATACTTCGTTCACATTATCTGCAAGATGTTGTTTTGGTATTTCATCATCACGACATTAGTGAAAGTCTTAGGACTGCAGGAACCTGTTAATGGTATCTTCAACTATTTTAAGACAACAATCATTGGTAGAAACACGACAATCGAGTTTTAATCTTTTTGTTATATTTAAATCTCTTTTAAGTAACTTCTGCTGTCAAATTAGTTTTTTGGGACAATCAAATAAAAGTTAATAAACCAGTACTAGCAACCTTTTTGTGTTTTTTTAATTGAATTATGACGACATTTAGACACTCATGCAACAAGAAGTCGTACATATAACAATCGCGCTTTTTGAGCTTTCAAATAAAATCTTCAGAAAGCTTTTTAATAGCTGATGAATGAAGTCAATGAACTTTTTAATATTTTTCATCGAGTTATGAAATTTTCAGTAATTACAGAAAATTGTAAGTTCAGAATATGAATCAGTTCACCTTGAACTTTGGAATAAAATATAAATTTGTCTTTCCCAGTTGACGAAATATTTTCCATAAACATTTTATTTACAAATAGAATTGTAGAAGTAAAGAATATTCAACACTATTGGTGTGGCAAGTTTATTGAGTCGGTCTTCCAAATATGTACATATCAACAACTAAATAAAGATACATTAAACTTCCCAGTTTTCTTCTGAATGATATAGCACATTTTAACTTACAACACAAACGAGAACCAATTCCTAACAAAAAATATTGAGTTTTCGCACTGGTTAACAATTAACATGTTCGTATGGCTTTGTTATGAAGATTCATTTCGTTATTATCAACTTTAAAGGTAGAGAAAAAGTTGAGATATTCATCAATGCTACTCTTCTTCAGTTTATTCATGGACTTCATTCAGATCAGTTAGAAATCGTGAATTCAAGAATAATTTCACATAATGAACTCAACAGAAATTTTAATAAAAAGTAAGTTATTGAACTTGTGCAGAGTTGTTGAAGGAATGAAATAAAATTAATTTATATTTGTTTAATTAAAGTATACAAACATGAGTGTTACATAAACTTCTCATCGTTGATAATTCTGCTGTTGATATTTGCTGCTTATCTTTGGTTTGTGTTAATTGCTGGGCCAAAATATATGAAGAAACGAGAGGCTTGCAATGTTACAAATTTAATTCGAACTTACAACATTTATCAAGTGTTTTGTTGCATATTTTATGTAGTTGGATCATACAGTTTAGGATTTACACTCAATCATCTTTTCAAATGTCAACGATTCGCTTTTCTCGATGATGATGCGAGGCTTTCCATTTATGTTGGATCCTGGCTCTTCCTAAGTCTTCGAGTGCATGAATTCATTGAGACAATCTTCTTCATTCTACGCAAAAAATTCAATCAAGCGTCGTTTCTTCATATTTTCCACCACATTGGATCAGTTGCAACGACTTGGCTGTTTATTGTTTCAAACGCAGGTGAGGTCACAAAAATAAATTAAATAAATATTCAAACTTCTAATTGAAAGCTTAATTTCTCTTCTAGAATTAATGGCAGTTTACATTGCACAATTAAACTCAGCAGTCCACATCATCATGTACACTTATTACTTCATAAGTTCTTTTAAAGATAAAAGGATTCAAAATGTTATAAGTCGGGTTAAACCTTTGATTACGATTATTCAGTTACTCCAATTTGTGATAATTATAGCACATTGTACAATTGCTATTCTTCCTGATTGTGGTGCCAGTTATTTCTTCCATTTACAAATTTTGAATTTTGTCATACTTTTTATTTTGTTTGGAAAATTTTTCGTCGACACGTATTCGAGAAGTGAAGTAAAAAGCGAACCTTAATTGATCTACAATATCCCATTAATTAAGTGAGCATGACCACTAATTGATAACTTTCTCTTAATAAGAACAGATTTAACTTAAAAATATTGAAGAAAAAATAAAGTAAAAGCTATTTTGACAAACCTGAAGATGACGTTAATTATATTAAAATTTGAAATTTTTCTCAGCTACAACTTATTAACATAAAAACATAAACAAAGCGTGATTATCTTCAAAGTGTTAATATTCTCATCTCGAGTTCTTCTTCGGATGGTCACATTTTTATGTTTGCTTTGTCTTGAAAAGTCAAAATCTAACAGCTTGATTAATGAAATCTTACGCAATATGAGATTCAAATGATGACAATCGGAAATAATCAACATATTTGAACAAACGTTTTTTCACGATCGATTCAAATTGTTTAGCGAGTTTATAAACAAACTTGTTCATTAAATATTACAATAAATCACTTTTGAAAAATCAAGTTCAAAAGAAGAGAAGTTTTTTTAAAAAATTATCTACTTCATTACGATATTGAAAGAATTATAGAAAATTTCTATGCCTCGGCTTCTCCACTTTTATTTTCAAAAAATGACGTAAAAATTATCGTTGGATGTTCATGAAGTCCATGTGGTGTTCCCATCATAGTTTTAAGTCTACTACAGCACAATTAGAAGTTGTAAAATAAATAGTAATACAAACCAAAGCAAATCAAAGCATTTTGAATCATTAAACTTCTCATAAAATTCATTTTATTTGAACCTGGCATCCAATAAATCTCATTGAACATGCATTAAGTAATTCGCATTGCGCCCCCTAATCAAAATTCACTCAACAATCAATTAAAATCGCAGACCTAGAAGAAAAAAATCATCACTCATTGATGAAATATCTCACAACATGGGAAATGTGTAGCGTAGGTGGCTTCACGAAAAACATTTTTGTTGAATTATTCATCAATATGTATCATCATCTTATATTCATAATCAAAATGGAAAAATGATTGGAAGAATGCTTCAGAAAAGTTTTTTTAATTCCATTAACTATGGGCATTTGCAGATGTAAACGCAGATACAAAATAAACTTAGAAATGTTTGATGATGGTCATCATTGTTGTATTTTATTTGGTAGAAAAGGTTTTGGTCATAATCGACATTTTAGATTTCAAGATGTTCTATGAAAATACAAAAATATATAATTTCATTTATCATTGATACCATAAATGTTAGCAGATAGTCTTTGGAGATTTTGATTGATCGATCGGGTGTTTGCTTATTGTGTGATATATGAATGAGTACAAATATTCCATGTATGTAGTAGCAACAGAAAGAAGCCGCCAGAATGACTGATTAATCTTTTCTGAAAGCTAATCACCAATGAAATTAATTTCTTCCATCAAATTCAATTCGGCATAAACATCTTTGTGTCGATTATCCTATCAGTTTCTCTTCTTCATTCACTTTAATACAATTTTTCTATGCTGAGATTTATTTATCTTTTCATGTAATCGACATGTGTTTATGCTTTGAATGTTCTCATCCGCATTCACTTCTGTATACTCACAGCATAAATTTTCCATATCGCTTATTACTAAGAAAATTTGTATTTAATTAATTAAAGCATTCTTGTGGAAACGGATGAAAATTTTCCTTCCGCTTTCACTCATTTTCAACTTGGAACTGGTAAAAAAGAAATACAAAACTTTTCCACTTAATGTAAATTAAATTATAAAACAGCAAAAAAAGACAACAAAATTTGCTAGATTTATTTTAATTACTTCTTTTTACCAGTTCTTATCTGATTGTGTTGAAGCAAAAATAGGAGTTTTATTTAAGCAATAACTCTCATGTTCAAATTTGAAGAAACTTCCAGCTACAACTAACAAAATCAATTATTGAAAGTGCAACAATCTATACAAAATGTGTTCGGAAGCGCGTGTACAGTTTGAAAGATTTTGAAGTAGAATTATTAGCTTTTAATTTAATTACCGTTTCCGGGATGGAGAATTTCAATATCGAAACTTACTAAAGTTTAAAGTTCAAACAATGTTTTGGCATGGAAAGGCAAAAATTTCATTACAATTAATTGAGCAAAAATTAATTACTTTGCAATTCAAAATCGCATGAAAAAGTTTATTTTATTATGAAACGTTGTCTACAAACGTTCCACTTTGTAGTTAGGCAGAGATTTTACCATGGCGATAAATTCATGACACCCGAGAGTATTCATATCGCTTTACGAAACATATCCATTCAGAATTAATTAAATCTTCTGTTTATTTTCCGAAAATATTTGAGGAAAAGTTTTTTCTTCCATTTGAGAACGTAAATCCTTTTGGCAGTCAACTTTCATAGCTTTGTGTATAAATTTATGGTGGTGAACAGAATCAAGGAAAGGTGAAAATTTATTCAGATTATAGAAAATAGTGGGCAAAAAGCCAGACAGCTATGATAAGTATTCATACCTGCAAAGCCACAAAATATCCTTAATCGAAAATTAAAAACTTACCAAAGCCCACAAGCCACTTTCTCCTGATCAGATTTTATGAACGCGGTTAGAACCACTTAACATTATTCCATGTTGAATGAAACGACAACAACGGTAGCAATCAAAATGCTGGAAAATTAATTTAATATTCGACGTTCAGCACTTCAAGCTACAGAAATAAATTTTGTGTACGAATGCACGAATAAGTATTCGGCATAGTAACCACATCCAGTTATGTTTTTTTACGGAACTGGGGGTTGGAAAATTGCTATTCAATTCAATTTCAAGGTTTTGAATATTTCATTATCAATCATCAAATTGAGATACGAAGTAGATTTGTATAGCAGGAGAAGTTGAAAGGGCTGCCAATTCAAGGAAGTAAGCAGAATGATTGTTGATGATGGGAAGTTTAATTGAAATTTCTTTTTTTTGACGTTTTGAAGTGGAGTTTCTGTGTGTGTGTGTTGAACGCCTGACGTGGGTGGTTTATGTTTTTGAATTGTTCTCGGATATTTTCAATTTAATTAATCACAAAGGGCAAGAATCTTTGTTTCATAATAACAATCAAAAATAAGATTATTTGTTGGTAGACATTTTATCTCTTTATTTTCTCATTTTCATTATTTTTGGATTTTCCACAAAGCTCATGATATCAAGAATAATAAACAATTAAAAACAAAACTGATAGATAAATATCTATGATATCTAAATTTAATATTTCTTAAATAAAGATCATTATAAATGAAAAGGAAGAGAGAGACATTAATGATAAATCAAAGATTATTGACTAAAAAATGATCAGAAAACAGTTTTTAAATAGCTTTAAGCTTGAACTGCGTCTATGGAGATTCCTTGAATATTGTTTTCGATTACACATAAACATTTGAATTACATTCTTTAGGGAAATGTTGTCGACAAAGTCAACGAAAAGATAAATAAATATTTTTCAATAAAATTATTCACAAAACATCGAAAGTATTAGAAATTCATCAGATCTTCTGACAAATATTAATTCTGATAAACTGAAGAATTTTCTTCATTCTTTTCATTCTCAAAACAAATTTTCCATAATTTCTGATTGAGTTCATTCTTGTGCGAGGAAAATTGATAGAGAAATTGAAAAATTTTTCATCGAAAATGGTGCGAAGGAAAAACAAAAATTTAGTCTTTCGATCTAAGATCGACTCGTGTGTCGTAAAAATATAAAAAAAAGTTTGTTAAAAATTCAAAGTGAGTAAAGTTTCTTAAATTACATTGGAGGTCGATGAAAGAATTGACATAATCTTATAAATGTAGATAAATAATAGAAATTATTCCTTTTGACTATTGATTGAATCTCATCTTGACACTTAATGCCCATTTTAATTATAAATTATTTAAGTGTCTCTGTGAATGACGAAGAATTTTATATCAAAATCGAAATATTATTTAAAAAAGGCTCCGGGAAATGGGAAGAAAAATAAGAATAAAGTTAACAACCGACTTGTGTCTAAAACTGACGACCAATAAGATCGCGTAACAACTGAAATAATTTTCCAATCCTAACGTAATCACATTATTTTTCATACAAAATTCTTTAGAAAGATTTTCTTGTTAGTTTTCGTCATCGAATTCGCTACTCGAATCATCATCGATCCAATTTTCAGATGTACCACCGCAATTATAAGATTTTGATGATCGTAAGGCTGATGAATTACTGGAAAAGAAAATTTGTCATTAAAATTTAATTCACATCATAATTAAATATTTACCTTTCAGATGACATCATCATTTGTTGTTGTTGTGCCAATCTCTTAGCTTCTTCTGCTTTCTTTCTACCTTCAGCAGCTGCTTTCAATGGATCGTAGCTCGCTCGTCGTTTCCACATCGCTAGTTCAACTTCTTTTGTATTTTTAACTGAAATTAAATAATATAATTAAATTATTATTACACAATTTCATGCTCTTTACCTTCTTTCTTTTTATTAGAAGCACTTGATGGACGAGAACCACCACCAGCACTTCGATTACTTGCTCTAGTTAAGTCTCTCTGGAAGTTTTGTAAACAAGCACTTGAAGAGCTTTTCTTAACTTCACGGCTCAAGTAACTTTTGCTTTCATCACGTTTCAAAAAGTTATTGCCACGATCCGATTTATATTTTGAGATATCTAAATACTTTGAAGTAACTTTGCCACCTGTTGCTGGTTTTGTTGCTACTGGTGCGGTTGTTAATGACATTTTCTTGTCACTTAAACGATTTAAACTGGAATCACGCGTTGTTGATAAACTTGAACGATCTTTAATGGCTGTTCTATCAGCGAGATTTCTTCGAGGCATTTCTGGGGTATTTGGACATGCAATGACACCAACAGCTTTTGCTGCAATGCCAACTGCTTTCTTATTCTGTTCACAGCGCATCAAGAATGTTTTATTGTATCTCGTATTTGTAATCAATGGATCGTTATTATTGAACAATTGTTTCTGATCATCATCATTATCATTGTCATCATCATCATCATCATCGCTTCCTTCTGACGTCGTTATTTGATTAGGATTTAAATCATCATCGTCATTGATATAAAATTCATTGTCATAACTATCACCATTATTGAGTCTCATCATTTGTTTATTAAAACATGAACTGCTTGCTGATTTCTGAATTCTTGTGCCATGCGCGGGAGCTGAAAAAGTTTTAACAAATTTATTTTGCATTTTTGGTGTACCAGATGAGCCTGAAACTCGTGCTGGTGATGACATGTCATGTGATTTAATATTGAAAGAAGTGGAACGTTTAATAGGTGATGCTTTTTGTTGTTGCTGTTGAGGTTTTGTCGCATGATGATGCTGTTGTTTGATCGATAAATGTTGTCGTTCTGGTAATATTCCACTTCGTGATGGCATTGACTCGTAATCATTGTCATCATCTGTTTGATCGAATTGTGAATATTTCTTACCAGTCGCAGTCGAAATAATTCCATCATAGCTGTTGTGTCGCGAATGTTGTTGTGTCTGCTGCTTCTGATGTTTCATCATTTGATTTAAGTGATTTGATTGAAGACTTGTCGACATAATTGTTGACGGTACAAAACGTGATGATGAACCAACAGATGAATTGCGTTTGTGAATTGAATTACGCGTAGCTGAATTTGCACGTAATTGTTCTGGTTTTGTATTTGAATGCACAATTGGTGGACGGGTAGGTGACATAGGAGAGATTGGTGAACTTTGAAGTGATGAATTTCTGATTGAATTCTTTCGTTGAAGGTTTTGAAGTGTCGAAATTGCTGCTGCTGTTTGTTGGAGGTAAAGTTCAGTGTCATTTGTGAGATCCTAAAAGAAAAAGAAAAAAGAAAACGTAACGCCGTTGCTTTGTATATCATGACGTGCATACATTATCGATTTACTTACTGTATCGCTTCCATAAAGTAGAACATTTGAACCGAAACGTTTTTGACGATGACTGACACTACCAATTGGTGAAGGAATTCGACTTGGACTGATGGGTGGTTTAATATTAAAATTGTCAGCTCCAGCTCGTTGAGGCTCTTCTTTATTAAGATCAAAATCTCTGAGAACTTTCCTTCCACGATTTGATGAAAGCGAACCATGATTACTCAAATTGTTTGTATGATTTTCAGTCGTTGAAGGCTTCTTCTGATGTTGATTCTTGTGATGATACTTTTCAAGATTATCACCAAATTCTTCATATTGCGGTTTGCAATCACTTCGAGTCATAACATCATCGCCAAAGTAACCAAATTGATCAGCTTTCTCGTTCGAACCTTCGAAATTGTAACTGCTTGACATGCCTGGTGCAACATTAGGCGAACGCTTTTGACGTGAGAATTCACGAGCATTGCGAGCCCATTCTTGAATCCAATCATCCTTTGTTGTTGCAGTTGATATGGAAGTGTTACTTGTATTGTTACTTCCATTCGATTCATTTCTACTCTTTGTTGGTGATTGCTTCGATAACATGTTCAATTTGTATCCAGCAGCAATCGATTTATCGTTATCAGTGATCGGTCCATTCTTCTCTAATCGTTGTATTCCCTGTACATATTCCGATGAATCAATTTGTGACTTCGTTAATGAATTCTTTCGTTTAAACTTCGGATTAACTTCCAAAGTTGGCTTCACACTAAGAACGCCGCTAGTTGTGACACTTGTGAATGTTCCCATGTCATCATCTGGTGATTTTGATTTATGAAATTTCCTATCACTCATGTTCTTCATTTTTGATTTCAGCTTTTCTAAATATGAAGCTTTTTGTTGTTTAGAATTTGTCATCTCTGCTGATGTTGACGGCTCTTGATGATAGAAGGACACTTCAAGAATATTTCTACGATTACCTTTAGCAGCATGTTTGGGAATATTTTCATCAGGCGCTGGATCTAAATCAATAATCTCTAAATCAGTTTCATTTATCTCCAATCGACGTTCTAAAAGTTCAGCCTCATGTTCCATCGCTAACTTATCAATGTTCATTTTCTCCTTCTGTTCTTCTGTGTAATTATCACCATCAAGTGTATAAGTACCAGCTTCAGAGACTTGATCATCACTCATTTGACAAACTTTATTTTCTAATGGAGGCTGAAGACATGCAATGTTGAGTGTTGTTGGTGGAATTGGTTTCGTATCAGCTTTTGTTAAATTGTGCAACTTCAAAGGTCTTTCAAGAGGATTAGGAGACTTGCGAATGTTCGTTGGTTCAACCATACTTGAACGTGGACTCCAACTGTGTCTCTTGTTAGAATCTCGTAGTTGTATCACTTTTGATTTTTCACGTAACTTCACTCCACTCACTGCTGCTGATGCCGATGATGGTTTTTGAGATGTTTCACTTAAGCCCTTTCTTGGAAGTTTAGCACTTGTTGGTGTTTTAAGCTTTGCAGTAAGTTGTGAGCTTGAACTGCTGTCACCCATTTCATCCTCAACTTTGGACAAGGAGACGCCACGTCGATGCCGATTTTGGAATCTTTCCAAGAGATTTTTGTGACGTTGTTCATCAACCTTGCCACTTCCGAAATCTATCGTGAATGCCATGCTCTTTGTTATGTCCGAATTCTCATCTGTCTTCGGTGAACTCTCTTGGTTATGTCGATCAGATGTTGCGAATGTTTGCATTGAAAAACTTTTACTCATTCCATTCTCGTTCGAGATTTTCTCGATCTCTGTTACGGGTGATGTATCATTGCTTTTTTTATTGCTTATCTCAGGCGATACATCAACTTTCTCATCTTGAACGCTCTTTGTTGCTGCTTTGGAATCACTCATATGTGACACAAGACCGTCTAGTGTTCGTTTTAAGCATTCACTTTTAATTAAATTATTCGCTAAATTCGTTGGAGTTGAAGTTTCGTAAACTCTATTGCACATTAACTTTTTATCGGAATCCATTGTTGTAATTATGTTGGTTTGCGATTATCCACAATGCTTAGTAGTAAGATGTTACACAACAATGAGCTCAATTTCACTATTCTTTTTATTGTGGGTGCAGATTTATTTGTATTTAGCTGTAAATAGGAAGGAAGTTTTTTTATTCTAGTCAAGAGAAGAACAATACTTTGAGGGTGCGGAGATTCACACTACACCCATAATCGGCAAAAGATAGAATATTAAAACATAACACGAGACTCTTTCTCTCGCACATTTAACATTCCGATAGAGATTACTGTGCTTTGGGAAATTATTAGTCATTCGAGGTCAATGGAAATCTTCACGGTATAAAAACTTTAAAATGACAGATTTTTGGGACTTAAAATGAAAAACTTTCACAACACAATTGTCTCCTATTTACTATGAATGCATAAACATTCAATTACCTTAAGATTGTGCCTGCTCAGCTATGAATTTTTATATATTTTTTTACCATTTCTGAAAATTGCAATAACACTTCAGAAAGTTTATGTTCTAACAATCCCTTGTGATGTTTTTTGAGAAAGTCCAAGAAAAAGTGTTCATTTCTTTAATAACAAGTTTTCTGTCTATTATAATATTTTCCGTATTTTACAATTAAGTTGACAGGAAAAATAATTAAGTTAGTTATAAGCTTATTTAATTAGCTTCTTCAAACTCAACAGTTTGAGTAAAAATAAAGATTTTTGAACTTTATTAAGTATCGTAGTAGGTTTAATTTTAATACATAAGAAATGTTGGAACATGCTCTGTACTAAACCCTTTGAACCGTTTCGAAATGTTTGTACCGATTCAAAATTAATTTTCTCGAAAATAATTTACTGGGAGACACAAAAAATACATTTTCAGTTTTGATGCTGGTGGAATAGCACGAAATTATTGTGATTGTCCACGGCAAAATATTATCAATTATTTTCGGCCACTGCAAAAGCTTTGGAGCAAAATAATTTAAAAGTAAAGATTAAAGTGAAAAAAAAAACACAGAAAGAAAAAAAATACAAATTAAAAGACAAATATTTTTATTCTGTTGCTAATCATTAAAGAAGAAAATAAGTTAAAAGGTGACATTTAAAGTTGTTCTGCAGAAACATTAAACATCTTTTATTCAACTTTAAATCCCGTCAGTTCGTAATATTGGTAAGAATTAAAATCGATTTTTTTGTTGTTTTATTCTTGTCATAAATTTCAAGTCTACCTACTTCTTTCCCTCAAAAGTTTCTTTGTTTTTTGTCGCTACAAACAATTGTTAGTACTCTGCAGAATATATGATTGCTCATTTTGGATGTTTCCGCGTTTGATTATCAAACAAATTTCACAATATGTGCCACTTAAAAAAAAGGTTTTGTTCTCTTTTCATAGTCGAGGGATTTTTTAGAATTTAGTTCTGTTCATTACGCAAGAGAGTTCCGGATTGTACATATTTATTTCCCTTGTATGCAAAGATGAGATATTCAATAAAGCTTCTTTACATTAAATATCTTTATCATCAACGTTGCAAAACTCAGTTGTTCCAGATCATCCATTTAATCTCTTGCAAAATAAAATTTTGTAAAACACTTTACAAATGTAGGTCAGTTTGCGAAATGTCAGGGTTAGAATATTGAACCAGTAAATTCCTTCAAAGAATTCTTTTCAACACTATAAGTTATCCTAGAATGCAATTCCGATTTTGTGCACCGGAAAATGTATTTAAACATTTTTCCTCGATGACGAGTATGAGTGGGTGGCAGGAGAAAAGAAAATTTGCATAATAGCGAAAGTTGCTTATTGTAATGTTAAAGCATTTAGCCGCCTTGAAGGCCGCCGAAATTTTTCTCAATTTTATTAAAGTTATGAATCGTTTCCAATTTCGGTTTCTGGAGCAATATTCGACCCACGAGTACAACTGCAAAACAAAAGCGAAAATGATGAAGATGATTAAAAGATTAAACTTATTTTCGTTTTATAAAGTGAAGACCAGACTTTACCGTTAAAGAAAAAAAAAAATCTTTCTCAGCACTTACAGTACTTATGTCTTTGGCCTCATCGAGTCTCAATTTTTTTCTTTGCTCTAACGTTTTAACTTATTTGAAGTAAGTCGAGAATTAAAACAGCAAACAATCAGGAAATTGGTCATAAAAAAATTCAGCACTTTATACGCTCCCATCGATTAAGTGTGACAGATAAAGTATTAAAATGTGCTAGAAATGACTAAAGAACAAAGGTGGAACCTCACGTGTGATTCTTGAAACGTTTTCCATGTGACTTGTATGGGGAAGTCAGAAACCATAAAATCTGTAAAGAAATTCAGGTATCTGTCCACATTTTACTTAATTATAATCACACTTCTGACGGTATCCACGTGTGTACTATCGTGAACTCGTATCAATCACACTCACTAGCAAACATTCATCCATCGACTGACTTAATCAAACAAACAAACAAAAGTCGACTTTTGTGTTCCGTTGTCACTTTTCGTCAAGGATAAAAATTTGCATAATTCTCCATTCGTCTACATGTGCGTTAACTAAGTGGCGACGTCATTCATATAACTATAGATGCGCAGTTGTATGTTTAATTTCTACTCCACATTCCAATTCAGAAGTCAAAGAACTTTTTTTCGATTCGTTTTAAATAATTCTTAAATTGTCTGGAAATATCAAATTCTTGAAGTTAATGCCAATTAATATTTTAAATTCACGGATTAAATTTAAGTATGTAATTATTTACCAGTGTAAATTAAGCAACTTTTCTTCTATCATTCTCTTAAGGAAACGCGTTGCGCTTTTAACAAAAACAAAAAAAAGTCATAAAAAGTTTTTGATGTAGGAATTTAACGAGCGATTTTTATCATGATTTGTAACAATATTACACAACGTTGATAGGGTCATTACTCCAAAATTGATTTGTCGACCATTAATAGAAGTCTAGAAGTTGTAACAAAACAGACGAAGGTGTCGTCAACTTTTATTTTTTTTCTTTCTTCTCCATTTTTAAATATTTTTTTCTTTCCTGGTTTAATGAACTTTAACATTTTACTTAATTTCCTTGATCTCAACTTTAATCCCTGCGTCAAATGTTTTAAGGTGTCATCAGTGTGTGTGTGATATGAAGGAAATGACACTTGAGCCGAATATTTGTGAAATTTGAGTCAAGCAAAGTTAACAATTGATGACAGAAAGAAACGCTTTGATAACGAGACTTTGTTATCTTAACGACCTTTTCATATCACTTTGTATTGCGCCAATTTAAGAAAAATGATTGTAAAATGTCGCATTTAATATTTCACAATCTCGTCTGTTTTATTTATTTATTTAAGTCATTCGTTTCGCGTGTTCTGTTTATGTGAATATGAGCAACATTAGCATAAGTTTTTGAAGTCATTCTACTCATTGAATTCTTGAACAGCTGAACAACAAACTATAAATAGAGTTTATTACATTCAAATTAATTATATATTTACAAAAGATCATTCAAAATATCAAAGAAATCCTTACGAGATTCATTAGCTTGCCTTGCTAATCGTCATCCGCACATTTATTTATTTTTAGATCAATCAGCAACCTAAATCCAGCGTCTGGAATTGCAAAATTCTTGAGAAATACAAAAACAATATTCGATTTCTTTTATGTAAAGAAAAATACGAATGAGATCCAAGACGATTCACTAAACATTAAACATTATTCTAGAACCTTTCATGTGTGTGTCTAAAGGGAGTTAAGCAAGAAAATAAAAACAAAAGCAAAATTTTTATTAGCCGAACACATGAAAACGAGAAGCCAGCAAAATAATCATCAATTTAAGTCAGCAAAACATGATAAAAGTAACAATACAACAACAGATAGATAAAGCAATCCGGTTTCGTGTTATCAAAAAATAGAAATTTAACCAAGTAACTTAATTTTACCATCCCTCGTTGAGGAGCGACGTGAGTGCTGAAAAATAAAACAAAAAATTCAAGACCAATAATTGAAGGCTTGAATTATATTTAATTTAATTAGTGCTGAAAAGAAGAAGAGAAAAAAACAAGAATCAAGGACGTGAAATGATGAAGTCGTTAGTGTTGCTATTTTTGTTGGGTGTTGCGAGAAATGGCGGCAGCATTTACACGCGTGACTCGAAATCAGGGGAAAAGCAAATCGACTTCATCAACAACGGCGTTGTCAATGCATTTGCTGGCCTTCCAGTCACACCAAAGAGTGAAGCAAAGCTTGATAATCTTTTGGAAATCTCCGATGCCAATCGATACATCACACTTGCATTTTTTAACGTGTCATGGACTGATAGTGATGGAGGAAAGTGGGATATGGATTCAGAAGAACGAAGCAAGTATGGAATGGGACGTGTAAAGGACGTACAAGGTCGGTTAATTCATATCACTGATGCAAATAACCCGCAAGATCATTCAGGGTGCAATGAATCGTTACGCGATAGTTTCGGTAAACATTTGCCGACCGACAATAGCACTCCATGGATTGCGCTTATAAAGCGTGGAGGCTGTGACTTTGAGAAGAAAATTTTAAATGTTTATAGGGAGAAAGCTGTGGGCGTCATAATCTATAATAATATCAGTGGCCATGAACTCAACTACATGAAAATTACAAAGAAAGAATTATTGGAAGGCAACATAACTTCTGTCTTTACACCACTTCAAAAAGGACTCACATTAATTGAGAAACTTAAAGCTTATGAAAATGTTGAAGTGATAATTAAAGCAGGAACGAGAATCGATAAACGAAATAGTCTCAATCATCGTAGTTCCGTGCTCTTCGTTACGATATCTTTTATCATTGTCATGGTCATATCCATGCTATGGCTCGTTGTCTATTATTATCAACGATTCAGATATCTTCAAACGAAAGAAAATGAACAGAAAATGGATACAAATAAAGCCAAAGAGGCTCTAAAGAAAATTCCTACGAAAACAATAAAAACCCTTTCGAAGGTGAGTTGATTTGAAATGATTTAAAAACATTTTTGGTTGCTTAGATTTGATTTACATTTAGATAAAAAAATTGTTTTTTTGAATTAAATAAGGAAAAGCTTTTTGATGATTTTATTTAGTCTGAGATGATGAAAAGGTTTAAATATTGAAGAAGAAAAATCTTTTTTCACAGGAACTCGAGAGTGATTGTTGTGCTGTTTGTATTGAAGCTTATCGTCTTAACGACGTTCTCCGGAGTCTTCCATGCAAGTGAGTTTCATTTTGTCATTGAAATATTTTAAGACATTAACAAATGTTGTTATTGTTACCGTTTAGACATGATTTTCACAAGAATTGTATCGATCCTTGGCTACTGGAGCATCACACATGCCCCTTGTGCAAGGCACGTGTTCTCAAGCAATTCGGCTACGTTGTGAGTGACGATGGACCAACTGATGTTTAATTTTATTCCAATAATTTTTAATTCCATCCTTTTCCATTTTGTTTTCTAATTTTTCATTATTTTGTATTATGCTTCACTCCACTTTAAAGTATTATCTAATTTTAATCATTGTAGTTAGCAACCGAGCTGAAAAGTGTGAAAAAAATGTTATTATTAAGAAGCTTTACATGAAAATGCTTGACATTTTCCAGCTCAATGAACAAGCAACAAACAAAAAAAACGAAAACCAATTTAAATTTGTGGAACGATTTAAGTGATAAAGAAAAAGATTGACTTGAAATTTTATTGTACTTAAGAAGTTTATTTTATTATCTTTTGTTTTGCATTTGATATCGAACTTGATTATAAATTTTTTTAGTTGTTTTATAATAACTGAAAACAGTTTTCAATCATCTGTGATAAGATAAAAAGATTCATAAACGTAGCAATGCCTTGTGTTGTTTTAATTTCATTCCTTTTCCTTTTTGAATTTCTCGATTGATCATTTTAATTAATTTCTTTTTATTTCATTAAGAAAGAAGCTTTTCAGCTTAAAAGGGCGAAGAATTTTGTGTTTTGATGTTTTATAAAAAGAACTTCCAATTAAAAACGCTTTTCATTTAATGACATTGAGACACTTTATCAAAACTGAAGTTTTCGCTTTTTGAAATTAAGCATTTTTGAACATCATTCTGTCATGTGAAGTTCATTAATGTTCAGTGATAATGAAATTATCACGAGTCCATAAAGCTTCTCCCTTCCTTGAATTCTTCTATTTTTAAAAACAAAAAATTATTCGTTCATTGCCAGAGATAAGAAATTGAAATAAAATCTAGCATGAAGAAACTTTTATTAAAATTATCTAATTTTGATTTCTATCCCTGACAAAGCGATGTAAATTGTCATAGAAATTGTAAAAATAAAAGTAATCAAGTCGTGATAAGATGCATAAGTATAAGCGTGGGTAGATTGCTTGCTTTTCCTTGTCTTTTTTCTATCTACATTATGATAAAAAAGAAACATTTACAAAGAAAACAAACAAAGTCATTTTCAAACGAGCGATATTTAGTCTTGGGAATGATTTCCGAGGCGAATTTTGAAGCATGTAACATGATTTAAGTACCTACCTAATTGGCTTTTCTGATACGAAGTGAAACAAGAAAAAATAAACGATCAGAAGAAGATAAATAATAATTGAATTTATTCTTTCATGATGTCATTAATTTGCATTCAAATCTTGTTTGGAAGTTGCTGCCTTGTTTTTGTTTTTAATTGTTCAAACATGCACATCACGTCATGTTTCCATTAAATCTTCGCTCCTGATTGCAAAACAAAAAGTGAGACGAAGATAGAAAAAAAGTCGCTTTTAAACGTAAATTAAATTGTTTTATTTCATAAAGTTAGTCAGTAGATTTGTAGGTTTCAAAACTTCTGTACATTTTAACATTAGCTAAGTATTTATGCTTTACAAGAAAACATTTTATAAGAGAAACCAAAATTAAATTCTACATGAAATGTTTGAAATTTTTTGTTTTCTTCTTACTATTCGAAATGATGAAATATTCACAGTAATGTTGAAGGAAATTTCTTCTCAATATTGACAGAATACTGGGTCACAAGAATCAATAATTCAGCTTGATCTTGATGATGAAGAAGACAGTGAAACGAGCCCAGCTGGCCAAAGGCGTCGCTATAGTGTTTCTCCTATGCCTCAAATCAGGTCGAGCGAGTCTCAGGTAAGAGAAAGAAAGAAATTTATTCATCTCAGAAATAATTTTCATGCTTTTCACGTCTTATCAGACATCGGGTCGTTCATCGCCTGATTCAGATATGCCAGCAGATGCAAATGCTGCACCGCCTATCGATTCAATTGTCATTCATAAGACGAATGAAGCTGCAGCACGTTGTTTGACTTGCGATGGTAAATCCAAAAGTGACGGATTCTCAGGATCAGCGAGTTTACCAGCAAAGTTCAGCACTAAATGTCCTGAATGTAGTGAACCTATTCAAGATACTCATCTTACACTTGACGTTTCCAAGATGAAACGTCACTCGAAAGTTCGTCCAACTATCTTGTCACCTAACTGTGATAATATTCATAGAGATTCCGATCTAAATGACACTGACACTAAACATTGACCCACGTGAAACTAATTAACAATTAACAATATCCTTTCTCCGTTTTAAACCAATTCAAATACTTAAATCGAATTTCAATTAACAAACAAAAAATAAAGTCGTCAACTTTTATTATCTCGATATGTACTTAGATAACGAAGGAAACATTTCTGCTTGATTAATAATTAGATAAAATCTAGTCTTCAATTTTAAATCTCTCTTATCACTTTCCTGATGAAAATAAAATCAAAACAAAAAGAATGAAACTTTTAATCCAATTCAATTAGCGTTTGAGTTCAAATGAAATAATTAGAACAATAAAAATCTTTTAAAGAAACCAAATGAGGCAAAAAAGCTTTCAATGAAAGTTTGATAAAACAGTTCAAGATTAAAATAGTCTAAGAATGTTCACTGTAATCATTACATGTAATGTTTTATGAAGACTTTCACTGTTTTTAAAAGCTTTCTGTAAAATTAAAGGGATGAACAAAGAAAAACTCCAAAAGAATTATTTTTAAGATCTTTAATTTCTAAATAACTTTTTTTATTTCACATTCCTGACAACGCTTCGACTAAAAATCTTTACAATAATGACGAGGGAAAAGCTTTTAAAGTTTAATTTGATTCAATGTTTTTTGATGCAATGAGTCCCAAACTTTTCAAAAGTGCTTTTGGTGAAGGATCGCGACCTCTGAATCGTCTGAAGACTTCCGATGGGTGAAGATTGCCGCCATAAGTTAAGAAAGTGTTTCGGAATCTTTTACCAACTTCAATGAATTCTTCTTCGTTCTGTGACTTGTTAGCTTCGAAAAATGCACTGTAAACATCAGCAGCGACTAGTTTAGCCCAGACATGACTGAAATATGCTCCGCCCCATTCACCACCAAAGATTTGTTCGAACGAACATGGATGGGCGTCCTTTTTGTCGAGTGGAAAGACATGATATCTTGGATACAACTCTTTGATAATTTCCAGCCAGAAATCTTTCCTCTGATGTAGTTCAATGTCAAGTGCTGACAGGTAAAGTTCTCGACATAAACTGAAACCTGAAAGATGCTTTTGTTGATTCATTACAGCTGATATAAGCTTCTCAGGCAGTGGATCATTGTTTGAGTAATGTGCAGTGATTTTTCTCAAAATATTTTCATTGTAAATCAAATTTGTCATGACGTTTCCGCCGATTTCTACAGCATCCCATTCGACGTTTGTGAGTCCAGAAAGTTCACTGTAAATTGACTTACACAATAAATGTTGAAGAGAATGACCAAACTTATTGAACAACATCTGAACGTCTTCGATGCTCAACAGCAATGGCTTGTCAGGAATTTTTTTAAAGTTAAAAATGAGAGCTGCAAGCGGTTTTGTTTTTGTCAACTCACATTTGCTTCTTACGGCAACCATCCAACCATTATTTTCAGCTTCAAACAACTTCTCATCATCACGAGCAAAAAGATCAACGTAAAAACCACCAACTGGTTCTTTCCCACCCGTTTCAAGATCAAAAATATCGAAAAATTTTACATTTTCATGCCAACGATTGACTGACGAACGTTCGTTGATCTTTATGTTGAAGAGTTTTTCCGCGAGACTAAACATATTAACGAGAACTTTGTTGAGTGGAAAATATTCTTTAATGACTTCTTGATCGAATCCATGGACTTCTTCCAATTGTAACCGACGATAATACGGAACGTCTTGAATTTCCAACTTCTTATGAAATCCAAGTTTTTCAGCGAACTCTTGCAATCCAGCAATTTCACTTTCCTGTGATGGACGTGCAATATCGAGAAGATTTCCTAACGTGTCTGTTACCGTCTTCATTGAACCAGCCATTTTAGTCTCCATGGACATATCCATGAATGATTTATATCCTAAAAGTTTCGCTTGTTGTCGTCGCAAGAAGCGAATTTCTTCAATATTTGTTGATGTCTCGACTGCCTTTTCTTGTTGTGTTGAACATTTTCGAACATCAGCTTGCCAAACATTCCAACGAAGATGATGATCAGGACAATATTTCATGAACTCTTTAACAATGAATGGCTCGAGTGTGATCCTCCAAGGTCCTTTGGTTGGATGTGCTTTTGGATCGACGGAAATTGCTTGAAGAAGGTTTAAAGGAAATTCTTTGATGATCTTTGGATCGTTGCAATTTTGTTTGAAATGACGGCGAGCTGCTTTTAATTTGCCCTGAAACTTTGATCTTTCTTGATTGAGTTTATCAAAAACTTCCATTAGTTGATATCTTGAAGCACCTTCCAATTCAATTCCATTGAGTGAAGCTTCGAGTAAATATTTATTAATTAGTCGTTTCTGTGAATCATCATATTCTTCTGTTGAGGCTTTCTTATTTTGAGCTGCTTTTAAAGCGAGGTGAATTGGCTGACTGAAGAACTTTGCAACTCTTACTCTTCTTGCTCTATCATGAATTGTTAAGTAACTTTTAGTCGGCATGAGTGTACTGTTGCCTAGATAAAGTGTCTTTGACAGTCCCCATGTTGTATCAAGTGGACTAGATATTTCTTCAAGAGGATTAAACACCTCTGTAAACACATCTTTGATTTCAGTTTTTTCTGTTAATGATTCCTCCAATTCCCTGAGCTTCTTTTCAGCAATCAACCCTTGAGTTCCAACGACACCGACACACTTTTCAATCGTTATACTGCTGAATTCTGGAAGATCATTCTCACCAATTAGAGGATTTTTGTCGGCATTTAAATCTTCACCAATCTCTGGGACCCTAAATATGAAAATAAATTTTAAAAAAACTCAAAAACTTTCTAAAGACATTGTTTACCAGCTAACTTTTTACTTACAGAACAATAAAACCTGAATTTCTATGCGAAATAAGCTGTGTAGTTCTAGTGAGTAGCAATTGTTTCGGTACTTTTAACAATTTTAAGTAAGACATTTTCAAATGAAATGTGTAAATAATGTGCTGTCAGTTTATTACACCCTGTCATTTGAAACCTTACAATTGTCTCGTAAGTTTAAAATTTAAAAGATCGTTATTTTTCCAATTTCTTCATGTTGATAGTTACAATATTTTAATGCTGCTGCAATGTTTATTACCTAATTTCGTTATCAAAATTAACAAATACAGTTTCAGAATTATTCAATAAAACTCTCAAAAATATCATTTTATATATTGTTCAGTCTTCAGACAGAAGATTTCAACTTATGAGCGAGTATTAACTAAGAATTCAAAACATAGATAAATCAAAAAATATTTTAACTCGAATGACATGTCATCACAGACGTAAACAGCGTACAAAAATTCTCCTGAATACAACAACCCGTAAAAATGAAAAACAAAAAAAGAGCTTATAAGTCTTCGCCTCTTCAAACATTCATTTAGTTAACGAAAAACAACAGATTTTTTCGAGGTTGATGATAAAAGAAAAAAAATTGAAACTTGCTCTACGATTGGTGGAAAAAACGAGGCTCGACATGGCAGCGAGATGTTTTATTTCATTACATGAAAAACAAACAGGGAAAAACAACTTCATGGAAAAATTGATATTACGATTCATTTCTTTATTTAGTGATCACATGCTTTTCATGAGTAGATATTTACGTAGTTTAAACTACGACTCAGCCCCATTTCAATACATGTTTATCTTAAACTATCAACCTGATAAAAATGTGTTTCATACAATGTAATTTCATACTTGCTCTTTATGCTGCAAATTGAAGTGAACGAGTTTTAAAATTATTTTATTAATTCAACCAACGTCCTTCAAGAGTCAAGCAGACAAGATCTCAATACTTAAAGTCAATTTACAATTTACTCATTTTATCCACTGAAAGTTCCAGATGTTTTACTCAACTTCTGACGTCACATCATGTTACTATTTGCCATCCCACATTCGTTGATATGATAACAGACTTATTCGATTCTCACACACACCCAAGTGAAATTTCTTAAAAAGTTAATGAAAAAACAAACTATAAAAAGATTGAACAAAAAAAAATTCCGTGACTTCCAACACGATCGTTTTATTTGATTTCCTTTATTTCATTTTCGTGAAATTTAAATCTGTTTATTTTTTGTAATCTTTATTTTTTAACTGAACTCAATTGATAATGAGAAAAATGCGAATCAGCTCAACAAACCTTGAATCTAAATCATTGATATGTATGAGAGCCGCCGTGCGAAAATTTTCCATGGAAAATTCTTAGAAATCATGACCTCGCAGACAGTTTTAACTTTTCAGAAAGTCACATAGTTTTCATCCAACACAGTTTCATTTAACTATGTTAATCAAATTATTATTGAATAAAATTTGCATAGTTTAAAAAGTTAACCAACACATTAATAACGCGTCACATTTCAAGGAAATTGTAGATCGAGCCTCTAAAACTGTTTTTAAGAAAAGATTTTTTGATTGTGATTCATTGCTATGTAGCATTTTTTATATAATGATAAAGTTTTAATGCGTAAATAGATGTTTGTGATTCATGAAAAAGAATGTTTACAAATAGTTTAGTTAACATCTAAATAACAATCCTAAGATAAGTGTTTTCAAATAATTGATAAGATTCAAGTGAATAAATTGTCACTTCCTCGTGATTTTATTGCTGAATGAATAAATAAGCAAAGAATTAAGTGAATTAACATGATAATAAATTCTACCAGTAAATGAAAATTATTAAATGGAATAGATTTATAAATATCTGATAGAGAAAAACAAGATCAGATCTCATGCGTCATGTCAATAAAATAAACGAAAAATTTTCCTTCTTTTCGCGAATTTTCATTGGATTTGGCCAGCTCAAAGATCGTTTCTGTTGATATAAAAATAGAATCATGCAAATAAAAATCTGGAATTAACTTTTATTCAAACAAATAAATTTCCACACCATTCTCGTGATATTTAGTTCATTATTGCGTAGTTTAATCAAGAAAACTGATGATTGATTTCTTTCGAATCGATTTTCATTATGAAATTTTCGTATGATAACATCACAAATCATACGATTTTGTTATCTTATCAGTTATATCAATATTTTTATTCGGCTCATCTCTATGATCTTAAATCCGCAATGACATCCACGTTCAGATCTTCTATTATTGTGATTAGCCTTCAGTTGCAAAATCAAGAACTTGAAACTCAATGTCATCGCTATCAGAAAGAATCGTGCCTCCAAAATTTATCGTTAAAATGATTAAAAGCATATGTCTTGGTAGTCCCACGTACATTAGACAAAAGTAATCAACAAATTTGTTTCGCAGTTTGCTTCACACATCTACACAACATTCGAACGTAAGATCACCAACGTCAGACACGAAGTAATGTTTTTGCCATTTTCTCAATGTTTTCTTTCCTTCCGTCGCTCTTATCGAGCAAACTCGTTTCACGATCGAGTTTTCGGTTTTTCATATTATTCCCCTGCTCACTGAAAAGCAGCTCAGTTGTCGTTTACACTCTGACTTGTCAAGACATAAAAGAAAAATTAAATAAAAAGAAATTGAGATAAAAGGAAGAATTGCTAAAGTTTCAAAGTGAAAAATTAAGAAATAAATTAAAAGTTTCACAAGTCTTATAAAAAGTTATTAAAAGAATTTATAAGAAATAAATAATAAAAGTTTAAAGTGTGCAAAGTAATCAAGAATATTTAATATGGTTATTCGAAGCAAGGTAAGTTATCAATTATTTCGAAACTCCATCTCGATTCTCAACTTTGATGAAGAAAAAAAAAACTTTTTCTTGTCATTTCTTATCGCGTTTCGTTCGCTTCATTGCTCGAGAATATTCTCTGCTCCCAATATAATTTTCACAAAAAATTTTATGAATTATATTACTCTTCTTATTCATTTCTTCTTATATCGCAAATTGTTGAGCTGGTTTTTGATAAATTGAAGCAATTTTCGGCGGTTTTTTTCTGTACGCTGATAAACTAACACATGCAATCATTAAACATATTTTTTTGAAATTCTTTCATGACTATACAAACAAGTGTTGTTGACATAATAATAATCTCGGTCAATCAACACTATCGTGCAAATTTTCACAGTTTAGCATTTGATATTTTAAATCTGAGTGATAATTTATCCTTAATTAAATGCCACAACAAGCAATTGCAGTTGATGGATCTTGTTAATCAGATAAGAATGGAATGCAAGCTGCATAGTAAAGAAATTCATTCAAAAATAATCATTTATTTGGTAATCTTACAATCACATTAGACGTCTACAATGTCCCAGTTTCATGGATTTTTCTTTCAAATCACATGAAAAACTTTAAAAAATCATGTCTGTCTAACTTTGCTTCGTGATTAAGTATTTATAGCTAGACATTTGTTTCTTTATTATTAAAATCCATGCTGATAACGATTCCATTATCACGACTCTTTCAATTTCTAATTGTCGTTTAAGAACATTGAGCTTTTGCTTCAACGTCAGCAAATTTCGTGTTCGCATGATGAAAAGTTTTCCATCATTTCGCGATCTGTAATATAGAAGTTCATACAGTCTAAATTAAATATTTGTTATGTCTGGTTTTTGTCTCAGTTCATTATCTGTTGAAACTTTAGAATAATTGTTAACGAAATGACTTTTTGGAAGTCGAAGGAAAGTCTTATCTAGTAGCTTCTAAAACATTTTTTCGTGACGAGTTAAACAGCTCGAAAAAACTTTCAACAACCAAGTTTGGTTTCTCACATCTTATCAATAAATTAGACGAGCGATCACATGCATGTAGACATTTATTAATAAGATCGTGCCAAAAACCGTAAATTTTTTGCGAATATTTAACAACAAACGAGATTGAAACTCGCGCTTGAACTTGATGAAAAATAATTTTCCTCAATCTACACACACACGTGTGTGAAAATGTGAAAATTCGTAAGACAAAATATTTTTAGAACTTTACTCAAGATTTCCGTCTGCATTTTGATTGAAAGTGAAAATAAATTGCTTCAAATATTTTTCTCTCTTGGTTTTTCACCAGCTTTAGGCTGATGTAATTGTGTGGATATATTGAGTTGGAAAGCCTTCTTTTTCAACTCGTGAATACGAGCACGAGATCATTTTTGTAACGTCACCTAACAGGTGTTTTAAATTCATAAGTCTGCTGGTTACAAGCTTCACGAAACGATAAATGGAAGAAAACTTTTATCAATTGTTCTAGAAAAACTTTTCTGGAATTTTTCAATATCGTGTCGGTCACTTTTAGTCACTTAAAATACTGAAAATGTTTCTTATCATAAGCTTTTATGTTAGTTGCAATGATGAACTTTAGTATTTCATTCAATATACTTACAAAGAAACAAAAAAAAATGATTAATTAATTTATTTCTCGGGATACTTAGTTATAGAGTAAACGTCCCTAATTCTGAACGGATTTAATTCCGTTTACAATTTTCATCAGCTATTTGTGGCTGACTGCATT